AAAATCACTAGTGTAATCATTCCTGGTTCAAAAACACTAGTGTGAACATTCCTTTGATGAAAACTCTCCACTTTTTACATGAATCAACTATGCAATTTTCAAATACACTAAAAACTATTAAGCCACATTTTATATATATTTCCCCTTCAAAAAAACCTTTTTAGAATCTTATAATGACTGGTGGATGTTTTACACTGGACCCGGATAGAAAACCCTAGTGATTTTTTGTTGGTGGATAAAAATCACTGGGGATTTTCTTCCTCCGGATAAAGTACACAGGCGGAATCAAACCGCTATTACAGTAACTCTTGATAATTTCAATTTTTCAACAAACCGGCCACCCCTGCATACCGGTCGTTTGATTTTTACATTTTTTTTTGCATTTTAGTCTATTATTTTGAAAACTATAATAGAAAGATAGAAACTGTAAAAAACAAAAATGATCAGCAAGACAAGATCTAGAAACTAGTCAATTTTGCTGAAATAGTCAGTAGACTCTTTATAGAGTGATTGTCCTTAGATGACGATTTGTTTACCCTTTTTTTTGTGCTTTGGGCAAAAACTACAGAAAATAGAGAGAAACTGTTAACAAAATAAAAATAATCAGCATTACAAGATCAGCAAGAGGGACATTTTGCCATGAATTCTATTCTAGTCTACAATGTTGGAGGGTGTCAATTGTTGATGATGCACATAGACCTGCATGTAGGTGAGCGACACAGCTTTTTAGAGCCTCTATATAAAAATAAAAAGGTGTGGTATGATTGCCAATGAGTCAACTCTCCACCAGAGACCAAATGACATATAAGTTAACAACTATAGGTTACCGTATACGGCCTTCAACAATGAACAAAACCCATACCGCATAGTTTATTTATGCCAATTTGGAGAATTTGTTTTCGGCATTTATTACATTTCTTAAAAAGGCATGGAAAATATTTTTGGATAAACTATATTTTCCTTTTAATGATTTCGTTCTTTAAAAAGAAAGATACACATTTACGCTTATCGTAGTGGGTGGCATAACAAGACGCGGTATCTTGTGGACATCAATAACGTCGCAGACAAATTTACGAATTTTCTTATCTAATTCAAACTTTCACATAATATAGCTTGAACACTAGCACGGTTGCTAAGGACTTTCTTTGCACTAACATATCCGTCATTCATTTCTAAATCATATTTCAATATTTTTGTTTAATAAATTCCGTGAAACGAATAAATTAAATTAAAAAAAAATAATGCTTATAAGGTAAAAATATCTGCAGTTTTTTTTTAATGATTTTTCCTATGTATTCTTTGTATTTTAGGACTCCCAAGCTAGTCATTTCAAAATCTCGTATCCCCAAAATTGAAACGGTCACCCCTATTTTTTTAATATATTTTCTAGTGTAAATTTGTAATCACTATTCATCTTTAAAATTTAGAAACATTTTGTGGAGTATTTTTTTTTAATTTTTTAACTTTGGGAATTCCGGGTGCAGGTGGGTCCTGAGGTGCGATTCGGACACAACTAGTTTTTACAGTGTTGTTTCTATGTTGTTTACCCTTGTATTTCTATTTACTTAATTTTTACTTTATCGAGTGTACATGTATACTATATACGGTATGTACTATCAACGACAAAAACTTTTTTGTCGGTGACGTCTTGTCAAATTTATGTCACTGATGTGTCTTTTGTAGACGAAACGCGCGTCTGGCGTACAACATTTGGTCTTGGCATCTATGATGAGTAATTACTATTTAATACACCTTTTTTGTTGGCGGTTTTTTAGATTAATTTGTGTGTTTGTTTGAATTTTTTATTCAGTTGTGTTGTATGTCTGAAGGGGGGGTCGGACCTTTATCGGGACTCCGGGATTGTCCAATTTATTTTCTAATTTCTTTTCCGGCCTATTTACATGGCAATTAGACGTTAACGTTCTAGATGTATATTTTGTTATATAACGTCAAAATCGTATGTGGGGACATTGTATCGGACATTATAGTTTTATCCGATATCTCGTATTTTAGATTAAATTTATGATAATTTCATATCAAATGAGATATTTTTCTGTACTTTAACCTTATATTTTTTATTTAGCGAATAGCACTGTATTAAATAAATATCATGAAAAAAACAGAAAAAGTAACCCTAATTTGTTTTGAAGGGGCTAAAATGTCGGACATAGCTATTCAACTCGAATACAAATTTTTTTTTTTAAATCCTTGATTATTGCATGAGGCGAAAGCGTGAGCTTTGTACAAAATGCTAGTATAGAAATTATCTACTTACGACATTGTGATTGCTCAGGTATTTTTTTGTTTTTGTTTTGAAAAATGACAAAAATGACGGCAATTTTTCGTGCATGGGACACATCATTTGTATCATCTTGGTCCCTTTTTTTTTTTTTTTTTTTTCGAAATTCCGTCTTTTCGAAGAAAACACGGACATTACGTGATCGACCAATGATGACGTGCTTGTTCGGTACGAATTTTTATATCGTTTAGCGGACTTTTTGGTATGCTTTTTAAGATATTCAGAATTTCCCGAAACTTAAAGTGTAACGCGGGACAAGTAAATAATGTCCAAAAATGAAGGTTTTATTGGTTTTTACATAATGAAAATAGCCTGTTACATATACAAAATTGCAATATTCTGAAAGTAGAATTAAAAAGCTTTAAAATGATATATAACACTTTAGTATACCAATCTTAATGTTTATAAATTAATGGCATGAATGTGTCTTGTCCGCGATTTATGATAATAAAGGAGGAGGGACTATGGGGCTCAACAAAGGGTCCTGTCCTCAAGCACCTATGAGATGGCCCATATTGAATTAAAAATTAAATGGAAAGACACAAATAAAGAATTACCCGGAAAAAAACCCCCAAAAAACAACATTGAATTCAATGTACACACACAACTACTTGACACTGCATCCTGGCTTCGGACTGGCACACAAAAAAGTTCCAGTCAAGAAGAGTGACAACATATACTATCATACTCCAAGTAACTAACGAAAATTTCTTACCTTCTTTTATTGAGCTCAAAATAGCCAACTTATTTATGTGTCTTCTGGGTTTTGGAATGTCGCAGTTTCCATATATATCATGCCAAGAAATCCTCGCTCAAAACTCCGGTGGACCTCCTACGGCACCCATTAGTAGATAAAGATTTGATTTCATTCAACAAATTAATTTATGACCTGCAGGCCCGTGTCGCGTAGAACACGGCCATGTACCAAATGGTCAATATTCATTCTTCCCCTTTTTTAATTTGCCTTGTTCAGTATTTTTTTTTAACAGACACTTCGCCATAATTGTGTATCAAAGGTTGAATAAAAAATATTTCAAACGTCAATAATTTGAAATGTTATAGAATACAACACGCTTACTTTCTGTTACATTCTATTGGAAATGTTACATTGCGTACAATAATGTTTATTATTGTTTATTGTTGTTTTGCTTTGTTAACTTTAACACCGGTTTTCAAGAGTTAAGTATTTTTCCAGAACTAAATGTTTTTGTACGTTTATTGTTGTTCTGTTTATCGATATATAAATTGAGATGGTTTATATGCATCAAATAATAGATTTACCTCGTTTTGATTTAGAAAACAAATGACTGCACAACACATTTCCAAAGAAAAAAGAAAATCTTTACTTAAGCATATCCAACTTTTTGACAATATGTAGATATAAGAAGATGTGGTATGAGTGCCAATGAGACAACTCTCCATCCAAGTCACAATTTGGTAAAGTAAACCGTTTTAGGTCAAAGTACGGCCTTTAACACGGAGCCTTGGCTCACACCGAACAGCAAGCTATAAAGGGCCCCAAAAATGACTAGTGTAAAACCATTCAAACAGGAAAACCAACGGTCTAATCTATATAAAAAACGAGAAACGAGAAACACTTATGAACCACATCAACAAACGACAACCACTGAACATCAGGTTCCTGACTTAGGACAGGTGCAAACAAATGCAGCGGGTTTAAACGTTTTAATAGGCGCCAACCTTCACCCTTACCTGAAACAATAGTGTAACATCACAACATGTATACTAATTTAAAACTTTTCGAAATACAAAGGATTTTCTACCTCCGGAAGAAATTACGTTAGCTGTATTTGGTAAAACCTTTGGGTCTTCAGTGCTCTTCAACTTCGTACTTTATTTGGCCTTTTAAACTTTTTTTATTCGAGCAATGCTGTCTTTTATAGACAAAATTTTAATCGTGGTATCTATGATGATTTGTTAGAGCAGAATTTCAATATTATAGGAAGTGCATTGATTTAGAGTCTTCTGGATAGAACGGTAAACATTTTGATGCAATATGTTATTATGATTGAATGATAGATTGGTAATTTCTTATGCCAACTTAGCTTTATCGTGTTTATTTATTTTATTTTATACTAAAACAGGCAAGAAGTGACATTAATAAAACTGCCACAACAAAGTTTTGTTGGGATGGTGTTTAAATTGTATCTTAGGATTAACATACTAAGCTCTTTATCATCGTGGTGACTGTTGTTTGTGAAAGGTGAAGTAAGCTTGAACTATCCCAAAGATTACACAATTTTTTTTAAAGAAAAAATGAGCATGGATTTCCTAATTATTGGTAAATAATTCAGAATATGTCGCATATAACGTTTCTGTTTTTTTTTGGAAACAGATGATTTTAAAGAAGCTACAACACAATTTTAAATGAAAACAGAAAAACCTAAAACTAAAACCCACGACAACAATTCATTGAATTAAGAAAGAGGAAGAAGATGAACTCACAAGTCCATGATAAACTGACAACGCCATGGCAGAAAAAAAACGACCAGAAGACAGACAGCAGTATACAAAACACAACACAGAAAAAACTAAAGACTGAGCAACACGAACCCCATAAAAACCGGTTCCATCAAAACCGGGGTGATCTCAGGTGCTCAGAGGTGCTCCACATGTCATGTGACACTCGTAACTAACTTTGACATATCATTGAAACAAAATGAATTTCATGCAGGCAAAATTATCGAAAGAAATTTAATTTAAAATATTCATCTCAATTCCATAGACAAAATCATGTTTTCACCACAGAAACTAAATACTTTTCTCTTTTTACACCAAGCAAGTCTTCAACGATTGACTTTGGAACGCCAGCAATCTGTTTTATGATACTATATTGTATTATAAATATAATACAGCATTGGCGATATGCCTTTGAAACCTAGAATTTAGCACACTAGTGATATAATAAGATTTAGAAAGACATTCTAATAAAATTAAGTAGAGAAAGCCTAAATCTGTGAACAGTTAATTTGTTATATCGTCGTTCTAAATAATGCCCTAGTTTATCCATTCATATGGCGATAGATCATTACCATACTAATAATAACGATGACTGAGACTACTACAAATCCAACAACCTGAAAAATATAAAATTAGTTAAATTCATATACATTGTAGATACATGTCTAAAATCTGTACAAAATACACTAGCGAAACTAAACCGATGTAAACTCGATTATAGATAAACAACCGTGAAAATGCATTGGTTTTTTTACACAGCATCGCAGACAGATTGAACTAGTATGACTGACGTGAAACTATCTTGTTTCAAAATTCTGGATCTTTCAGTTTATACATATTTAGAATCGACTTATATTGTTCTCCTTTTTTCGTGGTTTTGGTTGCTGTTTCTTTGACATATTCCTCTAGTTATTCTCATGCTTATAAGCATACAATGTGGATGCACTACCCGGACTCACAGGTACGAGACGAGATTTTTCAAAATATATGTATACATACTGAATACACTTAACAAGGTCAACAAATTGCTTCTTCCAAAATTATTACGGGTGATAGTTCCGAGTAAAAATTTACATAAACAGTTGAACCTTCTAGTACTTTACACTGTTCAACAACCCTCACATCGATTTCATCATTCCAAATTGGACCAATCAGATGTCTTAATTCATTTCATTCATTCATATGACGTTTGAAATCGTCTTTAAAATTAGCATGCCTTTTTATGACACATTGAAAAATCCCCAATTACGTACATAAACGGTAACTTGATTAAACATAGCTTGAATGGTCAGGACATACATTGTATGTTGTAAAAACATAGGATTTTTCTTAATTTATTTCTTTTGTGCGTTCACGTGCAACAGACTTTTTCTAGAAATCCTTTGCTTCTCATATAAAATGGGCACCAAAAGTTGCCTCCCGTACACCACTGATTGAACTTTTAGTACACGATATTCCCTAAAAAAAATTAAATCGGTTTTCTCCCTTTTAAAATAGTTTAGGTCTTTATTCAAATTATAAGTACTAGGCCAATTTTTCATCGGATAAGAGTTATACAAAGGTAAACAAAGTAAATTCCATCCATATTACGTACATATAAAACTATTTATGTCATTACTTCTCTGAAATAAAGAGAAATAAACAGAAATAGTTGATTAGGCTATGCTATGTCTTGATTTATGTAACTATGAATATACATTTTTTTTTTGGTTTTTGTGTCTTGATGTTTGACTTCATTTTTATTGAGACATTCTACAGAGTCAACGGAGAGAGTTGTGAGGTCTACTTAAAAGAATGAAAAGATATTTCAGGTAACTTTAGGCAGATCGTTTCAAAAATGGATACATTTCTCTGTTTGTACCCGAAAATAAACTTGAATATATCATATTTCTAGGTAAATATGCACTCGAGCTTTACAATAAATTTGCAGTGCAAGACCGGGACGAAATATTCTTATCTTTAATTTTTGAAACCCGGAGACTGCAGCAACTTTGTGTAGGGACTGTCTGTAACTGAAATTAGTTGGCTGGTACAAATTGGGTCAGTGATGTACACCATTCTACCAGCTGCTCAAACTCTAACAAGATACAAATCGGCGTCTTGTATGACCCAAATGCAGAGTTAAATCTGTGCATGGTGATCCCATTGTTCAGTGAAGTCGGGGTTAACTAGATATGCTTCCTTTGTGAAACTTTATCAATCCGATAAATCATTCAGACAACAACTTCTTCGATACGTCTACTTCATGAAAGCTCATATCAACCAGCTAGACAATCTTTTGAATATGGAAAGAGAATGGAGATAGCTCTTTAGTTCCAATATATTTTGAAGGTTCATTATTCTCTGAATTTTTACAATACCTTGTTTGCACATGCAAAGGCAAAACTGTGATTGTAGCACATCTTATGTATTCTACGAACATAATTTGCCATGAACAAACATGTGTTGCTCTCAGAATGATAATGATTCCTGACAGCTTAATTATCAAACTATTTTTAGGATATTACTACAATTGGGATATACCGGGGTAGTTTATTACATACTATTACATTTCTAGGAATATCATTGGTTAAAAGCAAACACGTGAAGACCCTGTATATTAAATATGGGGTTAGTGGGCGTGTTTTATTTTGATATACGGTTAGTAGCAGTGTTACGTCCCTTTATAAAAACAACATGACGTTGATAAAAAATCTGAAACGTTTCACCCAAACAACAGATGCAGAAATTGTCGATGAACAACTTACAATAAATGCAGAAAACACATTAAAGCTAACAAGTTGTTTTTGCTGGCATTTATTTTTGTATAGACCAGTAGGTTCTTAGTATTGAAGACTTGATCACTAGGCCACTAGTCTAAATGCCACATGTTAAGATAGTCGCTAATATACATTCGTGACACAGTGTGCTAGTGACCGAATACGATATACATGGGGTCAGTAAATTCCATATGGGGTTCGAGCTTCGCTGTCACCCCATATATAATTTAGTGACCCCCATATATATATCGTATTAGGTCACTAAACTCGGTGTAACTAATAGTATTAATGCTCAACATTCTATATTTTATACTGCCAGTGGCCAGGACTTAACACTGTTGGGTTAGAGCTCTCTCTCTAAAAAAGAAAAGAAAAAAAACCCTGCATGTAGACTTGACATGGTTGTCGGATTTTCAAACTTGAGACTTTTTTGCATCCAATATTGTTCAAGTATTTCCTACCATAGTGTCAGGTACACATCAAGGTCAGCATTCCGTTTTCTAATCAATGGAAATGTACATTGAAGGTCAAGTGTTACAGGAATACATGTACCAAGACAGCTACAATTGTACGATATCTTATCTATTTTTCTGCGATAAATTTATCATCTGTGAATGATCGTTGATTATTGTGAATCCAATACCTATCGGGCTTTCCAATCGGTTTAAGTCAAGAATTTGCAATATATGCTATCTTTGTGGCGTTTTATAAAATGGGATCAAAGCTTTTTAATATGCTTTTATTCCTGCAATTGACATATTTAAATAAAATCGTCATACATTATCCTATATATGCTGTCGACTTTTACTTATGAAGACTAGTATTATTGTTTACATTTTTGTTTTGGGTTTAAATAACCATAATCAGCTTGGATGGGGGTGTATATTACTGTACACATTTCCTCTTTGTTATTCATTGGATGTTCACCAAATTTTCCCGATGATGTCTATTTTTGTTGTCAAATATTAATGCATATCCAAAACTAAGTTTTGAATATTTTGGTTACAAATTTTCGTTGATGAAGATAGGTTTTGTCATTTTCTAGTTTTGGGCTCGTAGTTAATGTTAATTTACCCGCAATGTTTCTAATATAAGCATTTTTTGTATTAATACGGTAAATGTCATAAGTCAGTTGCATGATGGAACAGACACACTATGCCATCAAGTCACAGTTAAGGTTATTAAAAAATCTTAAAGACTTTATTCTTGGCGTCAGTGCTCTAAATCAATAAGAACTAAGCATCGTTTTTATATCTATAATTATAAAGCAGATGCCACTCAAATAAACATCCATCAAGCGGCAACCCCCCCCCTCCCCCCCCCAAAAAAAAAAGGAAAAAAAAGAAAAGAGAAGTCAAATGCAAAACAGGTCAACATGCATTCTGCATCAATACAAACTTGACAAATGTTTATACAATATATCAAGCTCTTAAACTCCAGAGTGTGGAAAAAATATATATTTGATTGAACCAATAGAAGATCTGTCAGCTCCCATAATGAACACAGTAATTGGTATCAACCTTTAACAAGCGCATTGGTAACATTCCTACTAAAAACAAAACGCAATGATTCAACAGTATGCTTAATTTTAACAGCTTTTTAATACGCAAAGAAAGTTTTTAAGGACAATTATTTAAATTTGTAATTAAACGAATACTGTTACCATTAACACCTTAGTATGAGTTACCAATTGTGTTAAATTACTGCAAGGAGAATATTACTATTACAATAAATCCTTTTTTTTTTACATTATACAGTTTAACCAATTTATGAAATGTGTAACTTATGTTGTAAAACGTTACAGTAACAGAAGTAATATACCTTTCATAGAAATTTGAGGTTAACGGTAAAGACGTGCATTTCAACAAGAATATTCGCCTGAACTTTAATTTTACCGATTGTGTCATCTCCCAAATGTGACATTTTGACTTAGTGTGGATTTGCATGGTGGGTGATGAAGGCATGGCAGGACACGCTTGCCTTGTCGACGCACTCGGTTTCGCTCCTTTTGGAGTTATTCGACTCACTTATTTGTTTGTTATCTTGATTGTATATTCTTAAGAATTAATTCCTTCATGTCATGCTCTATGCTCATTTTAACATGGGTAGGCATTATATTTGTTGATATTTTACACTGAGCGTTAGCGAGGTTTAAGATATGGTCAAATATAATGCCTTACCAAGTTTAAATGAGCATAGAGCATGACATGAAGGAATTAATTCGATTCTAATAGGACAAATACGGTATTTTTATAGGTCGAAGCGTACGAAAATACTCTAGAATTGTTACGCTGTTCCCGTTTCCTCCCCATGAAGTATTTACATTACATTTTCATATTTTATCAGATTAAAAGCTAATAGCAGGGTAAATATATGATATTTAAATAACAATGTTTAATAAAATTTTATGTAAGCAGCTAATATATATATATTCTATTAGGATAAACATGAAAATAACGAGAATATAAACAGTAAGTTTGTGCGCATGTGTCAAACATATTTAGTGCTAATTAGAATACGGCTTTATTAACGAACCTAAATAAGGACGTCATATTAGAATAGAGGTTTTGAACATCGGTAAACTACTGTTGCCTAAATGTCATGCCGATAAGATGAATAATTTGTTATTTATTGGTGCATGCTGCATTTAATCATGGTTCGGCATGATAGGGATTTTTCGAGAAAAAAAATCAACTCGAATTTAACCGCTGTATCATATTGTAGTGCATTATACTATTTTTTTCTACAACTATTGAAATGACAAAACTTGAGAGTGTAAATGACAAAACGTGAGAGTAATGTTTAAACTAACAAGTATTTTAAAGATAAAATATGCATATCGTGTTTAACATATTTACGCATTTACCTACTTTTGATTGGAATGGCATGTCGAATTCAGGCATTCTTTTTCAAAATCGACCTACATATTCCTTATACAATTCATTCATATCATTTGTAAAATTTGATATCAAATTAGAGCATGACAGTCCTTACAGCACTACTTTTCGTATTGTGACCATATTTTACATGGACACATTTTATGGCACATTCCATTTCGAACTCAGTATTAAAATGTAAGCCAGACCTTCAGTTATTTTACACGTACAACAGACTAAATTACATTAAAAATATTGGACGACACTCATGGTCGATTGATATTGGTGTTAAAACTAGTTCATATAAATTTTAATTAATCTCGTTAACAAAACGAAGCATTAAAATAGAACGAACAGACCCATTCTCTTCCCGGGACATATCACTCCTTATTGCAGTGGGGAACTAGACTTAAAACGTTACCTGTAAAATGAATTTGTATTTCAACCACAGTTCTAAAATCAAAATTCTATACAACGCAACGGTACATGGTATATAGGCTTCTGTATGTTTCGATTCCTGACACCTGTAAAATAATTTAAATAAATGAACAAATACTTATATATGTGATATCATACAAGGAATTTCTTTAACATCTTCACAACATGTGTATTTTTTATGGATTAAAAACATTTTGGATCTAGTGATTATCTTATAAAAGTTATTTCAGATCACATGTTGTGCAAATTGAAATGGTAGTCATGCAATATATGTTAACCCACTTAAAAGTTAAAGTACGTGGGCTATCATTCGTCAACAGGCAGTGTTTCCCAACTGGGATGATTTAAATGATTCATTATATTGTAAAGTGTCAGTCAGTAGAATAAGTTATTGTTCTAAAACTAAGATTGCCAAAAAAAATGATATAAGACGACTTTGTCTGTTTTTTTAGCCCTTTTTTGTTTTGATGTTCTTTAATGTTTAAGGCCTTTTGATAACCAAAATTTTGATGATAAACGTAAATGATGTTTTTTTTTTTTTGGAAAACACACGTCTTACACTCTGAAATAGATATCATAAGTTTCCATATTGCTAACATTTTGATGGACTGTCAGTCCCGGATAGTATTACCGATCATACATCAATATTGCAACCTTTTAGTTTACACATTATGCATTTAAAGAGAGACAACGCGGTGTTTGAATTTAAATTAAAATCATGATAAAAGAAATTACCCCCGAAAACAATAGCTATCAACAACCCAGGTTACTTATATAAGGTGTAATTCAGAATGTACACTTACCAACCATATGCATGATAATTAATGTCGAAATGAAAAGAAAATATTGTTTTACAAAAGTGTTATTAGTAGATTATTTCACAAACTCTGTGTCAACATGTCGCAAAAATGGACGCAGGTGTGTATATAATATTGTTTAAAGCTAATATTTTAATATTACAATACTATAATATATTATGACATTAATTTTGGTGGACAAGACACATGTTTGCATCAGGCATATTAGTTTTTAACATACTTTTCATCAATATTATGGTCCAACTGTACTTTATAGAACTCTTCTCAATATGAACCATACTCGAACTATACTAAAAGTGCTCATGGGTAAACGATGCAAATGGCGGCAACACAATACAATAACTATTCAATCACGTGAAACATAGTTATAATCGACAGAAACATAACCTTCATCGACCAAGTATGACTGTACTGTTACATAAACCCGAATGAATCTCTTCTAGGGTTGATATAGACCCAGGTCATGCTGATTGAAAACTCCAATTTAGGGTTAAATACAAGTTAGTACTGCCAAGTTTAAATTATACACAAGGTAAGACAAATCATATGTAAAAACTCGTCAATAAAACCAGGCTTTCAATTTGGTACACCAAACGCACGTTTTCTCTATACATAACTTATCTTATCAATGACGTTCGAAACAAAACATTGGCACGGTACGGCAAAATCAAATTGAGTAATCATTAAAAACCGAAGATTGCGAAAAGTTATGCCAAAACCGGCTATGTTTTGGGGTAGAAAACCATAGTTTTGCGAATAATTCAACATTTTATAATCAGTAAATTTACAGAAAAACCCATATAAATGCCAACTACGGTTCTGTTGATTCCCTACTGTTACTACAGAAGAGACGAGACCGGGAGGAAATAACAACTATATAACAACGTAAGAGGTACAGAAAATGCAACAATCAAGACTTCAAGCAAATGAGGTGTCACTACATGGCAAAGAGTTGAATACTCAAAATTATTTGATAGCTAATCATCCAGCTTAAGAATGGTATATGTTAGTAAAATCTTAACTGAAAAAAAGGTTCTAAATCATAGAATATTTCACTCAGATTTGTCCCATACCTTAGGCACCGACCATTCATCTTTCATAGGTGTTACAAGGTAGATGTTTTTTTCTCTCTCTGGAGACAAACATACAAATATATATTTTGTAAAGTCTAAAAATTCAGGATTAAGAATGTTTTTAAATCAATTTCATTTTAATAATTGTTTTTATTAATTTCGATAAAAATAACATTTTTTTATCACTTCCATTCTCCAACAATTTAAAAGGTATATGATCAATTTTCCATGAATTTATTTCATAATATAGTACTTATTTCAAAAGTCCTCCAATCTTGACTAAAACCCACAGAATCCGATTCAAATGTTTACTGTAAGGTTTAACAACGTTTTAGTGTACTTCCAAATGTTTTACTTGAGAGTTATAAATCTTAAATATTATTCAATACTGAAGTTTTAGTAGATTTCGGTAAAAATGAGCAATTACTAGTATCAAAAAACTGTCTAGAAGGACATTTTTAACCCAAACCAAAAGTCATTACATTAAATGCCTTTCTTACACAATTTGATTTATTTTGGTTAAAGTCTTACTTATATGCAAAATTTTAAATTTGCATTTTTTTCGTTAACGGTCAGCAATTTAGCAAGGCAAAATTCCCATAGCTCCCTTCATACATCCCGATACCAGGTGATGTATTTGTAAAATGTAACGTTCAATGTTATTTATATAAGCATGCACGAACAAAGAAATCAAATTAAAAATAAAAGCATCAACATGGACGAGTGTAAAAATAATGAGCACTTTTCGGAATTTACATGAGCGAGAATGAGACATATGAGAAGGACGAAATTATATAACTACCCTCTATAATCTTTGATTTTGTTGATAACACATGATGTTTTAAAAATTGAAATGATCCTAAATATTAAGCAATAAGCAAATGAAATATTACTGATATTATTGTTACTTAATTTAATGATTCCTAATCTTTCCATTTTCAATCAGTTTGAACTAAGAAATATGTCTCCTAAGTGCAAAACTCTGTTCCTTTTACGGGGTTGGCGCTTCAATTGGTCCTGTATGATTTTATCGGCTCTCCTACGTTTATATCAAATCTTGGATTTTCAAATATGATGGCCCGAGCATCACTGAAGAGATGTTGCAGTAGATTTGGTATTACTAACAAAGTATCGATACCTCTGCTGATGGACTGTTTGTCTCCGAGGTTTGAACTAGCCCTGTAGTCAGTACTAATGTACTGTCAGGAAAATACGAATATTGTTTTATTGAAATTTACTGTTATAAAACTTTGGAACTGAGGGATGTATCTCCTTCGTACATAGCTGTGTATCCTTGTGCACGATTGACTTTACTATTGGTCCTGTTTGGTTTTATTGGCTTTTCAGTGTTTGGATTTTCAAATATCTTTGCCACGAGCATCCTTGCAGTGACATTGATTGTCAAAATGCACACATAAGGCAGTTAATATGGCACCGTAAATGAGCGCCGTGAATTTTATTTCGGGAAATATTGCAACGTTTAGTACGAGTTCCGATGACAACTTTTGAATGAAGCAACCAAAGATATTTCGTCAGGGCGATGATAACTTTTAAAATGTAAGTCTGACATCGAACATGAGTAAAGCATGAGGATATTTTCCATAGCAAAACATGGCTATCTCCCAGAACAGTAAATTGTAACCCAACTTGTGTTGAACTAGAAAAAAATGGTGGTCTTTGTTCCATTGAAATATCCGTAGCCAAAACTGTCCTTACAAGACCCCTGTTTCAACTTGAAAGGAAATTGATTAAAACTAAGAGGAAGAGGATTCAAGTGTGTATAATAGCATGAAAGTCAGCACATTAATGGATGGCCAGGATTTACCTGTCAATGGCTAACCATCCAGGTCTAGGGGGTGGCTGATTACGTTCAATAACAGTGTTGAACATTTTGAAAAGTTAGACTTATAAGTTTATATTTTAAGTCTATTTCTAACTTTTGTGACTTGGAACTTTTCTTCCCCTTCCCAATATCTTCCGTTTAAATAAGTTTTATTTTTTTGTAACAAAGGAAACTTAAGTTACCTACCAAAACAACCATTTTTTTTTTTAATTTGTGCTTTCCTGTTGTGGGTGGATCGAGAAACGCGATATGGACGCAAAATTTTATAGTATTATTTTCAATTTGTATACCCTTGTATTTATATTTTACCTTATTTGTTCTTTATCAAGAAAGTGTTATATGTCATTATGTTTTACTATACTGTACTATCAACTACAAAATATTTTTTTGCGTCTTTGTTATAGATTTAGTATTACTTTTGTTTGAATTTTTGCAAATCAGTTGTGTTGTATATTTAAAACGATTATTTACACAATTATGGCTGCTTGATCCCTATTATTTTCACGTTAACCAATTATATTTGTTGTTTGGGTTGTTCATACAATTATGGCGATATAACGGAACTACAAAATACTAAAAACATGTTAAATTGTTCTTCTCCATTGTAACAAAGTTGTATTTCGTCTTAACAGTATTTAAGTCCCTTTTGTTGTATTTTTTTAACCTTCTTTCTTTGTTATGTAAATATTTATTTATTCATGTTCCAAATCGTTTTAAAGGAAACGGATTAATATAAGCTATGTGCTTGTTTCAGAATCCCACTTTTATACTGTATTTTTGTATGTTGATGATGTAATGATGAAGAATAAATATGTTTAAATAAACGGAACTATAAACAACTGTGATGCAAGTGGGAAGTTTAGCTTGCCTGAACCAAGTCAGAAATAGGAAATTTGTTTCCAATCGTTCTTTTGGTTTATACAGTCGGGCGTTTGGTTTTGTCAGGTTTTATGGACGTCCCCTTCACTTTGGAGTTCGGTATTTTTGTTAAAACATTTTTAGTAACAGCGACCATAACCTTTAATATTTGATTCCTTAATCGATAGGCTGCGTTTCTGTCCAAGTATTTTCAATCAACATTAATCAAACAAAACTTACTCAAGTTATCCTGTGGAAATAAATGTACATTGGTTCATTGATATTTAGACATACACTATTCCTTTCCTATTTTTTTATCTTTCTAAGTTAATCCAAAATTCATCAATTTTACTCTAACTTATATCCGTAAAATTTTTGTTTTGGACCTCGCGACGGACTGACAGAGTAAACACTTTATGCTCCTGAATGTTTTTTACCGGTTAGCAGAATAAGCATACATATAAATATGACAGTAAGCCCCTTCTATATATTATTCAATAATATTGTATAAGAGACCAGGAAAAAAAAATAGGTAAATCAATTATACCTTGTATAAAGTGATTTTAGAAGCCGGTTTCTTTGCGTTCTGTCCTTAAGAGGTATATTTAGTTTTATCCACAAGTCGTCCGTTAGCTTTGAGTCTTCTTCTATCATAAAACCAAGGTTAAAAAGTGCCTGTAAAGATACACACATTTATGTTATAGTCATATGAAACGAGTTTTTGGTGATGATAATGTTAATGAAATTCTTGAACCAATTAATGCATGTGCATATACTAGCCTAAGTCTTCCATGCAGGTTTGTTTAAGTTTATACTAATCGACAACGTATTATCGAGAACAGATATTTCATTCTGCGATTGTTGATCGAAAACTTGCTTCTAATTAACTTTCTGGTTTTGGTGCTAAAGTTTACCAATCGCGAACCTGAGAAACACAAACACGAAATCATTGACCTCTTGTATAATACGTCAGGTGATAGAGTGAGGTTTAATTGTTTTTTTTTACATTACCATTTGATACATAAAGTATGCCATAACAGGTAAATGATTGGGTGTATTATTTTTTTTCTTTTAGAATCAGATAATACTAACTTTTTGCACGTTTGTTTACTTCTCTTCAATCACGGTGTTTTCCTTCGCACTTGCGCTGTGTGATTGTCGAATTTATACGAGAGACAGATTGGTTAAGGTCACTGCATACTGAAAAGCTGTGGGTCAATTGAATACGGGAAGACAATAATTCAAAAGCAATACATTTCTGAAGATTAGGATAAAATAAAGGTTTTTTTTTTACAAAAGAAAGTTTATGTACACGTGTTTAAAAGTAAAACTTTGTAGTTCAAGTATATGCAACACATTCATCGCATATTTAAATTTGAAGGATCATATGACTTTAATTTTATTCTGGATCATATGACTTTAATTTTATTCTGTCATTTCAATTATATTAGTCATCGGTTATCATATTTAAGTTAAACAAGAGTGCACACGCTGAAATGTCTCGCCTGCTTTACCGATAATGATTGAATTTATATTGAAATTATTAGTTAAAGGGTTTTCTACACTTATCACATGAACTTAACATAATCAATGATCCAGGTAAATGAGACCAAGGTCAGATGAACCCTACCAGACAGTCATGTATACCTCGAGCAGATTGTTTTTCTTTAATTGTTTAACATTTCATACCGATATAACATGTTACTTTTATTATTCTTCCCTTAGTTTATTTATTTTGTATTTACATTGTATCATAGGTCAAATTTATTTGTTCAGTGTATGTTCAATGGTGTTAAAGTGTCCTTTGATTGAGTTAAGCTATTTCAGTTGATATTTTATAGTGTGTCTTTCTATGTTGTGATGTTACACTATTGTTTCAGAAAAAGGGTGAAGGTTTGGTACCATTAAAACGTTTAAACCCGCTGTATTTGTTTGCACCTGTCCTAAGTCAGGAATCTGATATTCAGTAGTTGTCGTTTGTTGATGTGGTTCATAAGTGTTTCTCGTTTCTCGTTTTTTATATAGATTAGACCGTTGGTTTTCCCGTTTGAATGGTTTTACACTAGTAATTTTGGGGGCCCTTTATAGCTTACTGTTCGGTGTGAGCCAAGGCTCCGTGTTGAAGACCGTACTGTGACCTATAATGGTTTACTTTTATAAATTTTGACTTGGATGGAGAGTTGTCTCATTGGCACTCATACCACATCTTCTTATATCTACTTACAATTATTCCATACACCAAATATAGTTTGTGACGCGACTCCTAGGTGTCGTCGGAGAGGCTGTCGCCATTACAGTCGTAAAAAAATTATATACAAGCTAAAAATCTATTTCCAAGACCGCCAATAATTGCTTAACTTAATCACAAGAATGCGAAGCCGTACTTGACCTCAAAATTTTAAGTGTACTGCTGGCCAGGTGTCGTGCCCTAAAAATCACGAAACTGATACTTTACACCCGGGACATAATATAATGACTAAAATATACTTATCCCAGGTTTCATATCGATTATAATAACTTGGTAATCATAATTGATTATTATAGTAAATAAAATACATTGGGCTTAGGTACCTGGTGAGGATGTACGGCCTTCCCGGGTCGAATGGGATATCAAAAACACCAGGTGCAATTTTATCAAATCATAGAAGTTTCTGTGGTCAGACCTTTAATCAGACAGTCATAAAATTCGACAATCCTCAAGTCCGACGGTCCTATAATCCAACAGCCGAAGCGCGGTTACTTGTCTCTGAAAAAATATACCTATAGACATGATGATTGTAACCGATTTGAATATACTTTTTCACAGAGACGAGAGTTTTGTGCTTGTGGTTCGACGAACGTATACTGCTCAAAATTGAGAGACTTTTTTTCGTCCTATTTTTGTCTCCATACACATGAATTGCGCTATGCTATCGATGCGTCGGGCCATATGTAGATTTATCTTTTCGATTAAAATGGGCTTAAGAAGTTTTGAACTTTTGCAGAAAGTTAGCTCGATCGCCCAGGAAAACATACCACTATTAGTATGCATAGTATAACATCATGTTCCCGTGCTTAACATAAATGAATGGCATTTAACCACAAAAAGACGCCAAAGTGTAAATTCTGATCGATGATTAGTTGTGTTTTACAAGCCTCATTAAGTGTTTTGCCAACCCTCCTCCCCACCACAAAAGAAAAAAAAAACAAAAAAAAAAACAGCGGTCTCGTATATTTTCATCCTGAATCTGACTCTTATATAGATCCCCGGTGTATATAATACAGTGAAATACAGCATTACATTAGGGATTTTATATCGGACCGTCGGACTACTGGACTATCGGAATTTCGGGGTGTCGGATTATAGCCGTACGCTTCCGAAATTTCTAGTATATTATTTTAATACCAAGACCTTTGAAAAATCCTTTCTGATATATGAATTTGTAAGGTTTTCAGCAAGAACTGGCATCCAAGAATAAGATGATTTACAAGCTTAATGAAATATGAAAGAGACGTCCCAATTAACCAAATATCAAACTAAGTGTTAACCTCATCAGTACGAGCAACAGCTGATCTGCAATATCGAGTTGAACATTAAATTCGTGTAGCAATTCCACTAAAGTAAAGAAAACTTCCTTTGGTACACAAGTAAACAATAAGGCGGCAATGTTAATCATGCTGACGTCTTCCCCCTTTTATTTAATTTTGAACTCCTTTCTCCTCTGTTAACAATATTTTTGTCGGAGTTGTGTGTAGTCTGAATGTCAGTATTTTGCAGTCTAAAGATAGTCGTCATGAATTAAAAAGTTATTCTCTTCATACTGGGTTAATTTGCTTACAATTACAGGATAAGCTTCGTTAAAACTACACGTAGACTCGGGATAGGTTACATAAGTTCCTTCATAATATAAGTTCCAAGTGGAAGAAATATTTTGTAATATTATTCCCATTGGAACAAATATTACAGAATTTGTTCCTAAAGGAATAAAGGTTATAGGATATTTGTTCCTTAAGGAATAAAGTTAAAGAATATTTGTTCCAACAAGAACAGATATTATGGCAATGTTTATAACAAAGTTTCCAGGGAGAACACATATAAGTTGACGGAGCAGATGGACTGTCGTCATCGCATTCATTTTCACAGATTAATTTAAGTTTTTTCATAGTCGTTACACGACGTGTCAACATTCGTCTACCAGGTCAAGGATTTGTACATTTGTACAAATCCTTGGTCAGTTGTAAATTTACTGTCATAACCAAGTTTTATTTAAGAAACGGATTGTGTGCAGTCGGTGCACCATCCAGAAAAATGTTCGGAACATACAAAAACCTGTTTATGCAAAGTTTTTCAGTTTATAGTAATGAAACTTATATGGAATCAATCCAGGACAGTCATTGAGCAATTCGTTGTGTAATTCACATAATGATTTTTCCACGTCTGACGTTTTCTACGATTATTTGTACAACTATTATCTGCACAAGAATTGATTCCACCTTTTTTATAACTATCCATAATAAAATTAATCAGAAAATAAAAATCTTGTTGCATTGTTCTCAAGCATGTTCCTCTCCGTCATTGGTCTTTATGTGCTTAAGAAGTGACGACGCATGTGTAAATATATCTTGGAACACACTCAGCATAAAAATTGGTCTCCAACTTCTTCCTCGTGATCAATTTCGAATCTTTGTTGTTCCATTCCTTTAATAAATATATACTTTTGTGCATGTATATTTCCTCCCGTAATCAGTAATCGCAAGATATTTTTTACTTTTTTTTTTTGCTTAATGAAAAACAAGGCGATCCGATTAAAATACTGATTCAAGTTCAAAAGCAGCAATTGCGAGATGGAAATGGAATTCTTTATTAAAGAAAGTATAAAGATAGATAATGTTGGCATAAATCTGTTTCTATGGTCATTAAAAGTGAAATGCAGCTGCATATTTTAATACCTGTATAATCTGTCATAATTATTCATACATAAATTATAGTATTGAGCCAAAAGAGATATGAGCAAATCACTTTCGATCTAGAATAAACATTTTCCAACATTGGAAAAAGTCACTGAAAGACAAAAGATTGATATCTTCATAGCATTGACTCGAATCTCTTCCCCAGGCAACTTTATTTAAAAAAGAAGAAGCTTATCATTAATCGGGTACACACTTTTGCATTCATACGTTTGTTCTTCAACTGTTTTGTGTTTAAAACGTATAAAACAAAAACATATGACATATCACCTTTTTCATATTTCAATATTTATTTACTTTGAGGCTTTTTTTTCTATTTCTAACATTAAAAATGCACATTACTTAAAAGACTATAATATTGGCCAAATGAAATACCTTAAGTTTGTACTGAGTCATCATAACAGAGTATGATGCTTTTTATACCTCACTATGCGGTATGGGTTTTGCTCATTGTTGAAGGCCGTTTGGTGACCTATAGTTGTCAACTTCTATGTCATTTGGTCCCTTGTGGAGAGTTGTCTCATTGGCAATCATACCAAATCTTCTTATTTTTACATTACAGGTATATTTGAATTACAAACTATCAGAGAAAGGCCAAATCATTGGCAAATCTATTCTTGTTTTCATGAATGCCTCACCCCCTTGAGACGCAAAATCTGACACCTCGAGCGACACATTACATTTTGATGAAAAATTAACTTTAAAACAAATAAATGTTGACTAAGAAGCTAGCTAAATACTATAATAGGAATTCATTTCTATATAAATCATACGGGGGAAAATCGCTAAAAGTAGTTTTTTTATACTGAAACTTGCATATGAAGTCTCAAAATCTGCAACACGGAAAACTGGGGAGAGGTGTTTGAGAAAACGGAGCACTGGAAACGTTTGCTTCTGCTTGCTGGGCATAGATTATGGTTCGGTTCCTTCGTGCAATGCATTTCTTGGTGCTAACAATTCCCCAAAAAGAAATTTTGATAATTTAACTTACCTTGGTCGTTTTTTTCTCCGCTTCAAAACCGCCACCCCGTGTCAGACATAGCCAACACCCCGCATGTGGAGTTCTACACGGTGAATTTACTTATGAACTATGACGAGTAAACAACTGTCACATGGTCATGTTCGATTAGCATTAATGAGTAATAGGAGAAAAAGTGTCCATTTATCGGTACGAGTTCATAGGCTACTAAATAATATACCCGGAGGAGGGTGTACTCTTTGACTTTCGTTCTTCCGTCTGTCCGTCCCATACAGTTAATGTAACATTTTTCTCAGAAACTTTCCGACATTTGGTATTGAGCTTCCTTTGACTATGTTATGCCGTGTCAGGTGTTTTCACATATACAACTTCTCATCTGCCTATTTACCTCATACTTAGGCATTCTTACACATAATGGCCATTTATGAAATCTTCTTCGTATTTAAAAAATTGGAGTTTCCTGAAATTTGGGATCTTGTTTCATATGAGTATGCTATATCATATGAAGCTTTTCATATATATTCATCGCCCATTAACTTACTGGTTTTTGAATATTTAACGGGGTATCATAGTAATTATTCATTTTGTTTGAGATTGTATACAACGAGAAGTCTTATTCAAATTTTGATGTAAAACTAGTTTTGTCTTTGTAGAACAGAGTTTAAGACAGATTTCGTCAAAATTATTTTAAGAAATACGAATTCTGTCAGCCCGCACGACACATTATATTTCGAGAAAAAGTCACTATAAAACCAAGAAATTTTGACTGGGAACCTGATTATAGGAATCATACTGTAAAATGAATTAATTTCTATAAAAGTATACAGAATCGGGTACCGGAAGATGAGTTTTATCCATGAATTTTTATTTCTCAGAATATGTGCCCATAAAAACTGAGAACTGTTTGAGCTAACGTAGCACTAGTGACGTCTGATTTTGGTTGATAAAAATTGATAATTTATCCGTTCTTATCGTGTAATATAGAATATGGCACAAATATATTAAAAAAAAGTAAATTCTTCACTTTTATTAACCTCGATCTTTTTTTTCGATTCGAAGACACCACCCCGTGTTATACATAGCTAATTATCCGCCTGTTGTGTTCTACACGATGAATGAACAAGTCAGCAGCTAGTTAAAACAGTTTAGATTGGTGAACGTTGAATCTGGCTCTAAGGTACCGTTTGTTTTAAGTTTGTCCTAGCTTCTTGTTACTGACTATCGATTTTGATTTCTAATTGTTGACATTTTGTATTTATTCCTGTTGAAAAGTTACCAGTATTTTGTTTCCATTTAAATGATAAGTTTGCTAAACTTACATGGGGGTCACCTTTAAGAGCAGCCTGTGTATAGTAATCCGCTGCTTTTTCTATGTTTGGTTGCTTTCCACATCCATACCAGTAGAAATCTCCCATTTTAATTAAAGCTGTAGATTAGAATATTAAATATTATTCTAAAGCAACACAATAACATAATTAATTACCGATTAGTTGTTTGAAAAATAAATATGTTTTATGGCACAATACAATGACCTTTGATTACATCAGTATAATTAAAACATTGTCTTTTGCATTATGAATTAAATAATTCATGAAATATTAAAATATCATTAAAGGGATATTTTGATGTCCAGAAAAGATCAGCATCATATGTTTATATAAAGTATTAAACTTATCAGGTATAGAGTGTCTTTAAATCTTGATTGTATCCAATGAACTGGTAAAGAAAATCATACCTATTGATACGGCATTAAAATAAATGTTGAACCGAGAAAGCTATCCGTAAAAGAATTTGATCAAGAGTCCTGAACATTAATGTTGATTGAAGTAACCAAATGTTCATATTTATCTTGAACTGAAAGACTTCGTTTGCAATCCATGGTTTAGGATTGTTATACCTTACTGTTCAATTCAATCGTATAAGTCCTAAAACGGTTGTTCTAGGTTTCATATCAAACAATAATTTTACCTTGAAAACCCGTGATAAATAAAGGCAACAGTAGTATACCGCTGTTCGAAAGTCATAAATCGATTGAAAGAAAACAAATCCGGGTTACAAACTAAAACCGAGGGAAACACATCAACTATAAGGGGAAAACAACGAAACAACAGAAACACTGAAGTGAACAAAACAAAAACGACAATGCAACACACACAGAAACGAACTATAAGATAACAACTGCCATTTTCCTGACTTGGTACAGGACATTTTAAGAAAAAATGGTGGGTTGAACCTGGTTTTGTGGCTAGCCAAACCTCGCGCTTTTATGGCAACGTTAAATATAACACTAAAATGACAACATTACATGACAGGAATACAGTACAAATAAATGCAAGAACATTCAGGACAGAGAAATACACAAATAAACAGTACAATAGTACATTTCGACATGCTAACCACAGAATAAAAACGAACACGTAAAACAACATAGGACAGCACACAAAAACAGCACAACAGAACCACGAACTGTCTTTCACACGACTGGATGAACGCCACAAAAGTGACGTCCCAGGTAAATTTTTAAACATTTGATACAGTTCAAGATCAGGTTTGTAACTATGTCATTTGATGTATTTTATAACAATTACAAGAATATTAATATAGAATTGTGTTAGTAATTAGATAATTAATTGTATTATCTAGCTATGTCGGTATTTCTTCTTAATCAAACTGTAAAACAAATAAATCGTGTACATATAGTTGCTTTAAACTAAAATCTTATAAATGAACTGGGTGATTAATTATCTTTACTTTTACATACGAATAGAAAATAAAAAAAAATAGAATTACAACTACAAATGATAAAAACTATAAAACTTTATATGTGGTTAGTCAAAAATAAGAACTTTTTACTGTTATTATAACGATTTTGTCAGTAACTTTGTCGAATAAATGTGACTTTTCAACGGTATTACCAGAACAGTTTTGTAACAGAAAATAACTGTTGATTGTCTTGAAATACCCAGAGAAGACCATCGGACGAAGAATAAATTCATAGTTCGATAATTACTGACCAAAGAGATGGCAATGTCCTTTTCTACAGTTGCAAAAGATTGATAGAATATTGATGATGTTTCCTTTTATTAGGTATTAGGACAGGTACGCTTGCTGTGTATTAATCGACTACGGGTTCTCTTCTCATCAAAGTCCAAAGAATCAAATCTCAAAATGCTATCACTTAGACGGACGGGAGAGACTGACATTTATTTTATCATTTCAAATAATGATATGTAACAGAAAAGGTGAATCAATGATGCCTTTTTATGAAATTGGTTTGTAATATTCAATTCTTCCGATGCATGAGATTTATAAAGTGTTACAGCACTGGGTCGATACCGCTCCTGGTGGACTATCAGTCCCCGAGGGTATCATCAGCTCAGTAGTCAGGACTTCCGTGCTGACATGATTTATAACAAAACCAGTCTAAAATTGTCGTTTATTAATTGAGAAATTATTAAGAAACTGAGGTTTCAACTCCCTCAGGCAAAGTTGACCTTAGATGGATTTGGCTATTTTTATGTCCGTTTTGGTCATATAGCTCTTCAACTGTTTCGGTTTTCAAATATCGGCTTTTGACGTTCCCGATGAAGGTAAATCCAGATAGCGCTTTGGAAGCATGAAATTTATAAAGTGTTATATTTCATTTTTTCCAAAAGAATAACATGTTTGCTTTTTTAAAAACCCTCTGTATTAATTTTCAACGTCATATTATTTGTTTGAATAAAAAACAATTCTCAATTAAAATTTTTTTAGAATGCGGACTTGTGTTCTCAAAGGCGTCTAAATTGCGATTTATTGTTTATTTTGTGTCCAACCATATTTATTGTTATATGTGTTCTATTTCTTTTTGAACATTGTACTGTTGCCTATATTAATGATATCTGGTTTCCGGAACTGCATTACGTATATGTTGGAAATCGAGACTGGATATTTAATTGAATGCTCCTTTTGCGACTGTATTCCTGTTGTCTGCGAGTAGTTGGTGTCATACTTTATTCTAGGCCGAAAAGTTATTCAGACTATAAATTGTGAAGGAAGCTATTCTAATTATTTTCAATCGTTTTCATGTTTTTCGCTTGTTTACAACTGTTAGGAGGAGTTCTACATTCAACAATTGTATGATATCAAAGGTACTCAAAGAGTTACAGAATAGAAAAGCATGTTCTTTGAAACATGAAGTGATCAGCGGAATTAAAATTCTCTTAGTACGGTTGTGTGAAATATGTGCTACGTGATAGCAGCAACTTTTTGCCGAAATACCTCGAACACAAAACTGCACCCTTCATTCTTTAGTGCTTTATATTTGGTTGTAACCTGTAATAGGACTAGTAATGACGGTCCTTTGATCACTTTAAAAAAAAACCGATAATTAACGTTTTTAGATTAGGGCGAAAGTAGTTAACCGTTAAAATATCGTAAGTCGATTAGGAAGAAACAAATCAAGGTAAAAAACATGCGAATTCTCGCTCAGTTAAAATGTAAAAATCGAGAAAAGGACACACTCGGTAAAATTACAGATCAGACGACTTTACTGTTATATAGATATCGAAGACCACAAAATCATGTCGCTAATGAGTTGAGACAACGACACATCGTAATCAATTCGTGATGGTGATCGTAAAACATTTGTAGTGTTGCTTTCAGTCGTTCTTCCTAGTAACTCTATTAGAGCATTTTTTGTGTAAGAAGCACACACATGTTAATGAAGTTCGTATAGTGTGTACTTGCACGAGCGTATCGAACTAACTGAGATATGTAAACGCCATAAGATGGAACAGAAGGTATGTTACTGCTCAGAAATGGGAAATTGACAATTGGAAAGTTGAATTATCTCGTGTGTCATAGATTCTAGTTTTAAGTAATCCATTATTGTCAACATCGAGTAAAGATCAAGATAAGAAGCAAACCTTCCATTTTCGATAGTATCCTTAATTATCTTAAGTTCACTATGATATATGAGATGTAAGCACTCATAAAACTAGGATCAATGACTGACAGAACATCATAAATATATTTGAAAGTGAAATTAAAGGACTTCAAGTTTGTAAGATGGGAAGGTTTGGTATGAATTCTGCGTCATACAAGTGCAAAAACAAGTCGGCCGGTAGTGGTGCACAAATAGTTGAAAAATTTGACGATCCGGCTAAATATCGTTCTTTACAAGTTTAAGGTAGATGGGGGGTCTTAATTAAAATCCATAGATTATTTTAATAATTTGTCAAAATGTAGTTTATATCATGCTTATTTCAAAAATATCATTAAAAGTATGGGTCACCGGGCTTTTTTTCAGGCTACAGGTTGTGAAAAATTGTCAGATTATGTATAGATTATGCATGGAAACCCCAATTTTGTGTGATAAAAAGAAAACTGCACCAAAGAATTTTAAGATAGAAGATAGCTCTAATAATATGCTTTCAGATAAGGAAAAGAAAAAATGGGATCACCAGACTCGTTTTCTTGCTACTGTAACATTATAAAATAGGTAAATTCACAACACATTCTATTATAAAAGTTACTTTATCTGAGTTATCTCCCCTTATGTGGAAAAGTTGAAAAAAAATGAATCCAACAAAAAGTTATGTATTTTGAAAAATACAGCAGTAACATATAATAAAACGCATAATTTCTATATTAACATGAAAAGTCTTACATATATGCATTACATACTACTCTCGAAATTTGCACATTGCATTAAAGATCTAGACAGATTGTTATCTGCTATTTCAAAATCCAAGATGGAGGAATACACCCCCAGCTACCTTAAGTATTTAGTTTAAAGATTGGACTTTTTCAACGTCATTTTTATGTTAATATCAAAGGAGAAAAGGACGAATTTGTGAGTTTCTAAAATCTCCAATTTCGTGACTGATATATGCGGGATCCCTAGTTGCTGTGAATTTCAAAATATTTCAAATTCTTTAGTAAGATATTACAAATAATAGGTTTTGCATACAAAAATAATATTGTTTGGGGCTCTGTCTCCTGGAACAACAACATATTTGTTGTGAGGAGAGAATAAAGCATCGACAACATTCGGATTTCTAAAAATGTCCAGAAATCAAAACCGTATTGTACATAGTAGATTTTGAATGCGCTTAGGAATGCATGACCAAACAGTTTGATCCATTCAGATAAAGTGTCAAGTTTTACTGTATTTTGCAAAACCTTTCGCAAATTTAGGTCCTCGATGCTCTTCAACTTCATACATTATTTGGTCTTCTTAACTTTTTTTTTATTCGAGCTTCACTGATGAGTTTTTTGTAGACGAAACGCTCATCTGGCGTATATATATTTTTTTACCAATTATATTTATATGTTATCTATGATAAGTTTATCTTTGAGGAGTTTTTTTTTACCCATTTTATGTCATAGTTCTCAAATGCATCCATTAGTAACCTGAAATTCTTCTTCCAGTTGTATTGACTTGGGAATTCGATATTTTGGGCCTAACAGCTCTTTAAATTGTTCATTGCTTGTGATGTCAAGTCATAACATGACCAGCTGTACAATATTTGTATGTGATGATGCACCTGAACAATCGGGAGGTTTGAATTTACATCTCTGATGGTAAAGGTCTATAATACCCTTTTGTGGTTGAAAATGACGAAAGCAATATGTTTGGTGGGGGTAAATTAAATGACAGGTATAGTTATATCTTTGAAGTAATCATGTGTTGTTTTCTGCACACATTTTTGATTGAAAATATTGCTAATATTGACGGCATCCAAACTCTTATTAGCAAATTCTGCATGAAAAAACTACGTTTTTCCTCATCTTCCAAGTTTTTTTCACTGGTACAAATAGCCTATGGTTAGCAATGTCCATAATTATTGCAACCAATCTGTACTTAGCAGAATTTGTTTTAATAACAGAATTATTTGGGCCTCTTAGAAACAGATTTGCATATGTCCGTCAATATTCAAACCAAAAGTTAATTCAGTTGATTTTCTTTAGAAATTTAATCATATTCCATCAAATAGCGATACAGCGTAATCTTTTTTATGATATATTTGTTTAGGCATATACTTACTGTTCCCATTCTGTATACAAGTCACACAAACAACCTATCATTTTACTACTATATCGGAATGATGAAGATGCAAGTACTTACAATAAGCATGAACAAATTGTTTCTCTCTCATAGTTGATAAGTTATAATTTCTCCATTGACAATCTTTCTCTATAACTGTTGCCATTCCATCCTATAAAAGTTACTTTATCATAAGTTACGATGCGTTGATAGAAGTTTTTGCATATTTTCCATAATACAATATTTAAATGAAATAATATACATTATGATAGATATTAAACATATTATGCATCATTAAGCAATATTAAACTTTCACTGGAGAAAGCATTTGCTGTCATATAAACTGCTCCCTCTAGAATTTGAGTATGTTGTAATTGATTTCATCATTACAAAGATTTACGATCGTCATCATGTATTGGTTTAGGTGACTATGCCATAATTGAAGGCATTCTAAAATTAAAGTGTTCACAATTACTGGCTTAGCCTGAAATTGATTACTAGTTCGGCTTCTGTATAATGCATCGTTCCTATAAGACTGTTTGTTTTTTTCGCACACCAGCTGAGTTAGAGGTTTAGTTAGCTATAAAACCAGGTTTAATCCACCATTTACTACATAAGAAAATGCTTGTACCAAGTCAGGAATATGACAGTTGTTATCCATTCGTTTGATGTGTTAGAGCTTTTGATTTTGCCATTTGATTACGGACTTTCCGTCTTGGATTTTCCTAAGAGTTCGGTATTTTTGTTATTTTACATTTTGCTATTGATATGTCTTATTCTTTTATCATCGCATGCATTTCGATTTTGTTGGTATTAATTCTCATTAAAGGGGCATTAGTTAGTCAAATTCATGTTCACCGGTTCGACTCAAAATCCCATATTTTATTTATAACATACTAATACGTCTATCCAAATTACAAAAAGTCATAAAGAAAATAATAACAATGCATGGACTCGTTACAATGTATCAACATTTCGTGTGTATTTTAAGATAAACGTCATCTAATTAACCATCGAGACGATCTTCGAAGATTTTCGTAGGTCACAATGACCTGTTGTAAACAAAAATATAAATACAAATACACAACTTTCACAAATACACAACGTTGCGCTTTTGTCCAACAAGTTCAAGAATATTATTTTGTATTCACTCAAAACAAAGCTTCTGGTTACCTCAGTGGAGCACATGACCTTGAAAGTAGAAGAATTTATAAATCGTAAGATCTTCCATGTAGTATTTACGTCATACCACCACAACATTTATGTCATACCACCACAACATTTATGTCATATCACCACAACATTTATGTCATACCATCACAACATTGTTGGCTGTTTTGACGACCGGTTCAAATACGAAATGCTTCTCAAGGACTTGAAGTTTATCTATTATCATGAAAAATGACTTATTATCAGTCCTTTTATCAATTTCTGAATTATTTTTATACGACCGCAAATTTTTTTTTGTTCGTTTTATGCTATCAAGTCGTCGTCGGCGTCAGCGTCGTCGTCGTCCGAAGACACATTTGGTTTCCGGACAATAACTTTAGTTAAAGTACATGGATTTCTATGAAATTTTACCAGAAGGTTCAATATCACAAAAGGAAGGTTGGGATTGATTTTGGGGGTTATTGTACCAACAGTTTAGGAATTAGGGGCCTTAAAGGGGCCAAAAACAAGCATTTTTGTAGTCCGGACAATAACTTGTGTGTAAGTGTATGGATCTCTCTGAAATTGTACCACCAGGTTCCATATCACAAAGGGAAGGCTGCGATTGAGTTTGGGGGTAATTGCCCCAAACGTTCAGGAATTAGGGACAAAAATGGGGCCAAAAACAATCATTTTTCTAGTTTCCAGACAATAACTTGTGTTTAAGTGTATGGATCGCTCTAAAATTGTACTACAAGGTTCCATACCACAAAGGGAAGGCTGGGATTGAGATTGGGGGTAATTACTCCAAAGGGGGGGGGGGGGGGTTCAAAAGGTTTGGGGGGATTTTTTTTATTAAAAAAGTATTGCGCAATAGCAAAGTATTGCGCTGTGATATTGCTCAATAGCGAGAAATCTTCAATAGCACAGTATTGCGCAATAGCAAGAAATTTTCAATTGAAAATAAATACAAATCTTTTAACCAATTTCAATGGGATTAATTTAAAGTCTTTAATTTTTGGGGTTCTAACCTTGTATTACTATTTTGGATATTGGGCCCCATTTTTAAATTGGTCTACATTGAGGTCAAAAGGGTCAAAAATTAAACTTTGTTTGATTTCATCAAAAACTGAATTATTGCGGCTGTATGATATGCTGAATCTTATTGTGCATTTGAATTTTTTATTTTGGGCCCTGTTTTCAAATTAGTTCATATTAAGGTTTGAAGGGTCTAAAATTAAACTTTGTTTGATTTCAACTGAAATTAAATTTTTGGTGTTTTTTTATATGCTGAATCTAACCATGTTGTTAGATTTTGGATATCCGACCATTCTAGGTAAATTAAATGTCCAATTTCAAATTTTTAAGATCTTTGACCACATTTATTTTGTGTCAGAAACCTATATTATGTCAAAAATTTTATCACAATCCAAATTCAGACAGTATCAAGCTTGAATATTGTGTCCAAACTTGCCCAAACTGTTCAGGGTTCGACCTCTGCGGTTGTATCAGGCTGCGCTCAGCGAAGCATTTTATTTAAATGTTATTTTAGAATTTCCACAATACTCGTACATTTTTTCAAATGCAAATTAAGTGTAATTTTTCTTTCGTTCACAACAAATTTATAAGATAAACAGAGCATCTTTAATGACCTGAAGATATTCTTTCCACTTTGTTTATAATGAAGGACGATATTTTAGTCCTTTTTCCAACAAAGTTATCTTGAACCTCTAAGGGCATACGATACAGTTACAGGGGAGGTAATGACGTTGCCAACGTAAAATGTAATTTTTCGCGACGTCAAACTGCGACATATCGGGAAAAGATGCATTTTTCGACTGATTTTTATCATTCAGACTTACATAACTTGAAAACGAGTTCATGGACTCCTCTTTCTTAAAATGACATTAGGATTGATTAGGTATGGAGATTATTTGTACCAATTTTTATGAAAAAGTCACCGATGAGATTTTTTAAAATAAGATAAGTATACAGCAAAAAATTCCGTTTTTTTCCTAAAATCCTGAAACTTGATAAAAATTAATTATTTCCAAAGAATTGTTATACAAATTTAGAGCATACTTATGTAAAAGAGATTTTCCAAATGTTTTAAAAAAAATCCTATTGTGTTTATCTTTTGAAACAAAAAAGCTATGTATGTCTATCCAAAGGATAGAAATGTTCCAAAAAACGAAATTTTGAGTAAATGTCTAAAATTTCGACCCCATTTATCTCTTAAAGTAGCACATGAAGGTATATTTTTATTACATATTTGCATTGACTAGGTGAAAAATAGCTTGTATGCAAATTTTTTAAATTTCTACTTTTGTTTTTATACGTATACGAAATAATAGGTAGTTTCTATGTTATGTTATTGGTTGCTTGTACTTTTCGGTTTGTTTCCTTGTATACTAGTAGTGTAGAATTAAGGAGACGATTATTCCTTTCCTATTGTTAATTTTCCCTTTTTGGACGGTTGTATTCCTTTGCTACTTTCTTACAGTGTGTATATTTCACGACCTGTTTGCTATGCCCGTGTTTTGTAGTCGCGTTTTATATTCCAATGAACGTAATTTATGTTTGACGGGAAAATCATTAAGCCAGATATTTCGTTACTACAAATTAATAAAAACCTTTACAAAATTCATTCACATATAGAAAGATTTGGTTAGGAAGTTTGGTTGTACCTGTAGAATTAAAAATCGACATCACATTCTACTTTTTACGGTGATGATGTTTATAATGCCCGAAAGTATAGATATGATTCCTGACTCATTGGTCCTTTGAATAAGTTATTCTTATTATCAATTTAACACAGCAGTAAAATCTTTGAATGTTGTTTTTATCAGTAATAACATAGATTTTGTTATTGAAAAATTAAAACAAAGCTAAATATATAATGCTATATATGTACAGTTATGAGTATTCATGATCCAACATCCTGTCGATAATGTTTATGGCATTGCATAAGGTCATACGTTTCTCGGACTGTTTTTGACGTCTTTACACTAAATCCGTTGGATGTGCACTGATTGATACCTTAGTTTGGGAGAACATGATTTATTAATAAATCAGTTCAGCTCGAGTTTCGCAAGTAAAATACACTTAAAGGTTTAGCAGGATTGTAGCACACATTTAGCCTAAATTTAAAAAAAAAGGAAACTATCGGCTTTCTGTAAGTATGTTCACGCAACCATCAATTATCAAAATAAAAAATATCGGAACCCTAGTTTGCACTAAAAAAAATAAAGTATTACAAATATCTTTAACAATGATCGAATATATATGCAACCAAAAAACCCAGCTTTAGTTCTGTTTTTTTTTTCCATTTACATGAAGAATGTTAAGTTCCTTAATCAAAAATCTTTCCCGATTCTCCCGCTGGGTATAATTCTAAAGATTGTTCTTTTACACCACTAAAACTTTCATGTGGGGGAAGCCATTTTTGTTCTGGTACGACTGAATGAAGTATTGGCTAACTAGGAAATATCGTGGCTTTCATGATGTGCCGATTAAGGCGTTTGTAGAATAACAGCTTTGACCCACCAACATATTGGAGGCCACTGACGGATCATTCTAGAATGTAAATGACAGTCGAACTTAAACAGGTCACTTTGCAAAATTATTATGCAGTTCTTTTGAGTGGACTAACATATGAATGTTGATGAATTGTACATCTGTGTGATGATGAACCAACAAAATCTAAATTAATAATAATGTTTAATGAACTATTGTAAAAATTGTGTAGTGAATAGTATCTTAACCCATTTGCAAGAAATGATTTACAACATAATTTTATGTCTCCCCCAAGAAAAGACTGCATACACGTTGTTAACATCCCTTACCTGACTGCTCTCGCACAGGTATGCACTATTAAAGGAGGCTACCTCCAATCCTGCATCCGAAGCCATTAAGTAATAGAAAAGAGATGACTGCCTGAAAATATAATATTGCTAAATATCATGGGTAATAATTATAAGCTACATAACGAGTGAAAATTGGATATCGCTTGATATCAAACGATATCTAATTCTCAAGAGTTGATAGACTGATTTCTCTTATGGTAAAAAATTATGGTTGTTTAGAGAAGGAAATTCAGCGCAACATTGTTCTTGTCTTTTGCGACCAATCAGTGTCAATGATTAACACCAGACGCTTTGTTGTGGAATCTCAGTAAAATACGTTATGATTGCAAAATACGTTTAAAGACAAATCCCTCTATTGTTTATGCGCACATACAAGCACACCATTATTATGTTGTCAACACAGGCACCTGTCTCTGAATTTTTTTTTACCTATATACTTTAATATTACATATGGTGAAGCATTCTCCTGTTTTCATTGGATATTATGATCACGTGTTTCAAATAATATTTCATGTATCTGAAGCCTTGTTTCTATTTTTAAGTATATTGACGGACGCTATGTTTCTATTTATTAATACGTATATTGACGGTCAATATTAAAAATCTGTGCCGTCACACATAACAATCATGGCGGAAGCGCCGCAGATTACGAAAAGAAAATTTGCAAGTAAACTGAAATGAGTTCCATTTGAATTCTTATTTGTTCTAAACAGAAAAAAAAATTTGTGTTTTTGTTTACATTAAAACAAGTTAATATGACGCAGGTTTCCTCAAAAGTGTTGATTTTCTAAAAATTGTTTGATATTTCACAGTGATATCATACTTTAACTTTGTTTAAACCTGTTTATTTACGTTTGACTTTAATTATTTATCCCTTGTAATCTTTATTAACTGTGTATTTGCATTCAGGTGTCACAGGTCAAATTTATTCGTTCATTGTGTGTTAATTTACGTTTTTTGATTGAGTTAAGCCTTCCAATTGATATTTTATAGTGTGTTTTTCTATGTTGTGATGTTATACTATTGTTTCAGAAAAGGGAGAAGGTTTGGTACCATTAAAACGTTTAATCCCGCTGCAAATGTTTGCACCTGTCCTAAGTCAGGAATCTGATTACAGTAGTTGTCGTCTGTTTATGTAGTTCATACGTGTTTCTCGTTTCTCGTTTTTATATAGATTAGACCGTTGGTTTTTCCGTTTGAATGGTTTTACACTAGTAATTTTTTGGGGGCCCTTTATAGCTTGCTGTTCGGTGTGAGCCAATGCTCCGTGTTGCAGGCCGTACCTTGACCTATAATGGTTTACTTTTATAAATTGTAACTTGGATGGAGAGTTGTCTCATTGGCACTCATACCACATCTTCCTATATCTAATCTTATTTATTAATATTTTCAATAGCATGTTAAAAATCTTGCAAAATAAAATTAAAAAAAACCACAAAGAACATTGAAGTCCATTTTTCTAATACATTATTTACATATGTAATATATAAATTAAGGACTTTCACTCAGTCAATACGTTATATATGGACCTGTTAGATTATATTGACACTCGGACTTCGTCCTCAGTCAATATAATCTGAACAGGTCCATATATAACGTATTGACCTCGTCAAAAGTCCATAATTGATAAATATAACACAAGGTACCTAACTCACATATTTGAGAAATATCACCCGGTCGCGAACTTCCGTTATATTTCGATTCTGCGGTTGTCTATCCCACTGAAACTTGATATGTCGTAAATCTACATTACATTATCTACAAAATGGTGTATAACACGCCTATTTCTATTGTCGGAGTCATTCGTAACAGGCCTTCGAAGTATGTCAACCGTAATTATTTCGTCTTCTCACAGCCGATTGGAAATAATAGTCTCGCAGTGAATGATTAATTATAATTGTCCCTTTGGTATATTTCCCCTCTCTTATTGCTAAAAATAAATGTTTTTTTGGAGTTATCACATTATATATATAAAGTCCAGAGAGTCTGAATGACATTGATGGAATGGGAAAGTTTGAGTTAAAAGTAGAAACTCGTAACTCATTAGACACACCTCAGATAACGCTTATTATATTTTTTTTCACGGTATCTTTTACAAATTTACTATATGAATGATAAGTTTTATTCAGAGCCTCGGAAAAACTAACAGGTTTTTGGGAAATACTTTTCTCACTGTGAGACTATTATTTCCAATCGGCTGTGAGAAGACGAAATAATAAAGGTTGACATACTTCGAAGGCCTGTTACGAATGATTCCGACAATAGAAATAGGCGTGTTACACATCATTTTGTAAATAATTTAATGTAGATTTACGACATAACAAGTTTCAGAGGGATAGATAACCGCAGAATCGAAATATAACAGAAGTTCGCGATCGGATGACATTTCTCAAATATGTGAGTTAGGTACCTTGTGTTATATTAAAGTATATAGGTTATTTTTTTTCAAAGACAATTGCCTGTGGTTGTCAATAATAATTTCCTTTACTTCATACTTGTATGAACTACTATATTCTTAAACGGCATTCTCTATAGTATGTCTTTAATTAATTCTTCTCAACAAATAATCAATAAAGTAAATCATCAATTCCGTGATCTAAATTCAAGGTATATTTAGCAGTTGGTATATGTATGAATATTGAAAACTCCACTGAAGTATTTTGAATGTGTATGGTGCTTGCATTTCTACACGCATATAATATATTTCGGATTAACGCCAACAATTCAGTTAACCAACGACGCATATATGTAAAATAAAGTACATCTATAGAGGTAAACATATAGTCTTGTAACACTGTGTTTTTTATTTAACCATTTTGTTCCGATTTGCTGAGTTTGAATGCTTGTGAAATGGTTTTTTTAGGTACCAGTGATCAATTTCTTAAAAACTAGTAAGTCTAAGGCTGCACTTAAGACAAATCTTAAGTCCAGGCTGTTTCATTTTCACAATTTGTGTGTATAAAACATAAACGTGTCTTTGTTCAGAAGTTGTTGGAATGAAGACTTAAATAGGAATGCATATAAACAAAAATCCTTTTGCAAGAAAGAGTGTATTTGAAAGAAAAGAGGGGTTAACGGTAGGGTCATTTAAAAAATCTTATTTTTATTGATATTCTCTGTATGATAGCTTGAGGATGTAGTTAGGTGAAATTAAAAAGATCTAGAATTTAAAATTGATATTATAAGTCAGAAGAGCATTAGTAAAGGAACAAAATAAGCTAAAAATATTGATAGGTTACCTGGAAATCCTTTTTGCGACATTTGATTTTTTTTAAATGGCGGGAATCTGCTTAAATTTTGGTAATGACCTTTTTATGAGCTATTGAAGTCTATGAAAAGAAAAGTGGGTGATAGACTGACAGAGGCTCTAGCAACATTGCGGCGTATTTCTAAACAAGTAATCAAATCATAAATGCTTACAGATGACCTAAAACGGAGATTATGTTAGATTTCGGTTAATTTTAAGTAATTATCGTCAAAATGACGAAAAGGAAGGACATTTTAAACCAAAATTTAAAATTATCGAAAGCGAAGCTCTGTCTTGTTTTTCAGATATATATACTTTATCTGAATTATATTTGCTTTGATGCAAAATTTTACGAAAACATGCTAAATTTGCGATATTGAACAAGCTCATAACATATTTGGAAGAATTATCTTCCAATAGTGTATCTGTATATTGCCTGGCACATTAAAAAAAAAAAAAGGCTGGAAAAATTCGTCTGTAGAAGATTCAAAATTGAATAGAGCGTTATTTTTTCAATACAACGTAAGCATATTAACTACAGATTCCATGTTACATGTAATTTAGCATATTATTAATACAAAGTCTAAGACATTCTTGATATCCTGTTATTGTCTGTATCATAAATATTCATAAAAAAAATTACTTATACATCGCTGGTCACATAATTATATAAAGAATTCCCTCGTTGTTTAAAAAGGAATTTCTGTTCAAAACATATACAATCATTCTTTTCAACTAAGTCGAATTTTCATCGAGATATTCGTACAACCATGTGAACGCATTGTTTTCGATCCACCACTCAAGTTCAGAATACGTGTCTGTGCTAAAAACTAACTACCATCATGTGTATATTAAAAATGAATGTTCATTAAGTGTAATTAAAAAGAAACAAACAACAAAGCAGCAAATAACGGGATTTGAATTGTCCATAACCCGTGAAAACATCGCCGATTCGGCCTGACGTTTTTCAACGTTGCTTTCAGAATTGTCGCAATGAATTCCCGCCAATTCAAATTTTTAACGCCTTTTTTGTAATATCTCTTTTCCCGATACCGTGACCAGTCACCCTACGTTTTTATTTTCTTATTTTGTTTCATAACAAACAATGCATATTCTATTGAATTCTCATCGAGAAAATATTGGTCATTTTTTTTTAAACTGGATTTTTTTTCTATACATATTTTACCATTAAAAAGGCGGGAAAATTATTGTGGAAAGTTATCGTTACCATTTGTCCCTCATAATATGATGATATCAATAATATAATTTCTACTAACAACAAGATTTACAAACAGACAATTTTTTTTCAAAATGATGTGATACTGACTTTTTATAGAATATTACACTGATAATAACGACAAGTCTCGATTATAAATTCCATGAAAAAAAATGGCGTTTCAAATTGAAAACGAGGTCGCTGACCTCATTTTTTCTATTAGCATTAAGTGAAAATAAAATTAAAAGAAGAGAGTATTGGCAGACCTGTGATTAGAAGGATTTGTCTTTAATTGTCTTGATAGTTATGAAATCTATACAAGAACGTCTTACAATACAGCGTTATGGCTACGACGTTACCATAGTTCAATGTTAGTACTTGGCGTATTTTCCGACACGCTTTCAAGATTTTTAGTATGCTTCAGAATGGAATAAGATTTGACAAACGCAATATTTTCATGTAAAACATGTGCCTTTTTTAGCTCACCGGGGCCCGAAGGGCCCCATGTGAGCTTATGCCATCACTTGGCGTCCGTCGTCGTCCGTCGTCTGTCGTCGTCGTCTGTCGTCGTAAACTATTTCAAAAATTTTCTCCTCTGAAACTACTGGGCCAAATACCTTCAAACTTTAACTAAATGTTCCTTAGGTTATCTAGTTTATAAATTGTATCCGAAGTTTTGATCCATCGACAAACATGGCCGCCATGGCTAGAAATAGAACATAGGAATCAAATGCAGTTTTTGGCTTATATCTCAAAAACTAAAGCTTTTAGAGCAAATCTGACATGAAGTAAAATTGTTCAATTGGTCAAGATCTGTCAGCTCTGAAATTTTCAGACGAATCGAACAACCCATTGTTGGGTTGCTGCCACCGAATTGGTAGTTTTAACAAAATTTTTCAGTTTTTTGTTATTATTTTGAATATTATTATAGATATATATAAACTGTAAGCAGCAATAATGTTCAGCAAAGTAAGATCTACAAAAAAGTTAATATGACCATAATTGTCAATTGACCCCTTAAGGAGTTATTACCCTTTAAAGACAATTTTACACAATTTGTTCATCAAGTTTGCTAACATTTAAAAATCTTCTCCTCTGAAATACAGGTGAGCGATTCAGGCTCTTGAGAGCCTCTTGTTTACAAAAAGCGTAATATCTATTTCCTGCATGAAGGGATATGTCTTATGTCACACTGAACGAAGTGTGATTTGAATAAGTGATTCGAAAAAGACGTTACTTTGGTTGGCCTTTCCTGTAATGTGTTACGCCATTTCCATTGGCTATTCCTCAAGTCAGTGTTGACTGTCTAAGGACTTCTTTCTTTCATGTTAGTGGAGCTATGCGATTTCTTCAATGATGTTAAAGCACATGTGTAAGTTTGTGAAATTTGTATTGTTTCGACTTATATTGTAGTATTTCATCAATACAGTAATGGAAAATCAGTTTAGTGCACTGTATATAGATTTCAAAAGTTTATTTTTAGGATCACTTAAACCCATTTGAAATTCAAGAATGTATAAATACTCGAATACGCGATGACCAAAAGGACCCAAAAGAACATAGAAAGAATAGCCAAAATATAAGATCATTTTGCCTGAGGGTGTTGGAACCTTAATTCCGTGATAATTTCCAAATTTTTCAACTGTGAATTTAAAAAAAAAAAGTTTATTATAATTCATACCAGTACCGAAGCACTGACTCCTGATTTGATGTTGACTTTGGGTACAAACATGCAGTGGTATCAATCCAGTTCTATTAAATGATAATAACACTTCTAAAAAATTCGCGCGATCGAAGCGCTTTTCGGGATTTACTTTCATCAGAACGTCCGAACCAAAACCATTTGAAAGCCAAGTATGTATGAAAAATGTTCGTACTGACTGGATTTATTTTTGTAAGGATTTGCCTTTTCATTGATTTGCACAGTTTTACCAACAACTGAAATATCAAATATAGTTCCAAAAACGTTTTTACGTACATTTATCATATGTCTATGCATTTGCAATTATGTGAATCAATTTCAGATATAATTATTGTAACATTATATAAATAACACATAGCCGAGAGGGTGATAGAGCAGATTGTTACCCCGAGAAAACATTGTCAACTGAGGCGAAGCCAAGGTTGACAATGTCTTTTCGAGGGGTAACAATCTGCTCTATCACCCTCTCAACTATGTGTTATTTAATTTATTATACTGAATGTTCTGTTATTATTGCTTTAATTTCAAATTCAAAGTAAAAAACTACGACGTCTGGTGCATAACAATAACTGTATTTATTAAAGCGCACACTTGATCTCAAGCGTCTCCGTGAAGGGTAATAGAGTATTTGCCATGGGATCGAGTAAATTGTCTCCCTTCTATCAACCAATCAAAATCTGGCATTTTGACATGAAGTATAATAAATCAAATTGGAATACCTATGTGTCAAGTCCGGCGACAAGCCAAAAGTCACTAGAGTGAAAAAAGTGTCCTTTTCATAAGCTTCCAATAAAGTGAGATAATAACATTTACCGCATTAAGTTTACCGCAACAGGTGCGCATTTCGTTCGACAATAAATGTCTCTTCAGTGATGCTCGAGGCCATAACCTTTTTAAAAGTTTAAGAGTTGATAAAACCAAAAATGACAAAAAAGTATACCCAAAGTCAGATAAGGAATCAGAGCAAGAGGGAGACGTATTAATTTGAGATAATTTCCAAATGTTCGTAACAGTAAATTTCAATAACAAAATATCCGTATTTTTATGCCAGTATAAAGTTTAACTCTCTTAATGATCCTTAAGGGCTGAATTATAAAATTGATACATCTAAATCTTAACATCTGCTTATGAAATTACCTAATGATAACTGATGAATTTTCTATAGACGAATCGTGTATCTTGTGTAATGAGTTATGTAAACAAAAAAAATTATATAATGTCTGGGGTAACCAAATTTAAGCCTGGTATTTTTGGTGAGTTTTTTTTCAACTGTTTGTTCTTGCAATTTTAGAAGTGATTGAACAGGCAAGCTGTCCATGAACTGACAATAAACGAGATTAATAATTATGTTTCTTTCTTTAGATTAAATTTGCTATATTTCACTTACAGGTCTAAGTTTCTGTAGGCTTTTATCGCTTTTCTAAGTACCATACCTAATGCTGGATTCTTCTCTGCAATAAATCTAGCCCATCTGTAACGAAACTTTCATAAAGACATATTCCTAATATCCCCTCCCCCCTAAAAAAAACAACATAAAAAAAAAAAAAAAAAAAAATAAAAGAAACACCCAACCCAAAACGGAAAAAGAAACAACCAAAAAATATTGTAATCTGGTTCCAAGGTTAACATCAAGTTTGCATCATTTACCAGATAATGGAGAGTTCTTGGTTCTAAATTCAACGTATATAGTTGTAATGTAGTTCTTATAAAATTGACTTTTCTACACATGGTCAATACCAATAAGAATTGAGAGTAATATAGTAGGGCAAAATATAATACTAAAAGATCGTATTTGTCGAATTTTCTGGCAATGGCGTGGCTCAAACTGAAAAAGATACAGTTTCAATTGTACATGATGTTCTCGCATTAGCATAAATACTCTAAAAAGAAAAAAAAATTACTCCACGTTAATTTCAAAATTTATCTTGTACGCACTTTTGTAAACTTAATTTTTCGAACTATTTTTCTCGAAATCTTGGACGAAATAAATATTCATACTCGGTACTTAGATGCAAAGACGTATCCAATTGTGTGAAATTAACGTTGTGAAGTCTGTAAATTTCCTCCTTCCAGGTCCCTTTGTTTCCGTTTAAACAATCATTACCAACAATTAACAAACCCAGGCCCCTCCAAATACATGTACAGTGATGGTATAAGAATTGTCTCTCTTTTGTCCATACTAGCGTGAAAATTCAAAATATAGGCAAAAGATACAAAAGGGACATTCAAACTCATAAGTCGAAAATAAACTGACAACGCCATGGCAAAAACGGAAAAAGACCAAAAGACAAACAACAGTATGCAAAACACAACATAGAAAACTTAAGACTGAGCAACAGGAACCCCACCAAAAAACCGGGGGTGATAACATCCGAGATACAAATCGATTTGTAAAAATAATAATTAAATAAATGGCTAGTATGATAATAAAATTTTGTTTTTCTCTTCTAAACACAGAGCTGTCTTTAAATTTGATACATTCAATTAACAGATTGTTTTTTAGAGTTTGCGTGCTACATACATTACAAATGAATAAGTCTAAAGATAAACACAGTTTAACATCTTTGAGTTTTGTAAATAAAAATATCGACTGTGTTTTCATTTCTTAATAGCATATTTTTTTATCACAAATATCGATTGTTTCATTTTTTGCTACATATGTAGTTGTCTCTATAGTATAAAGCCGATACCAATTTGATTTAAGATTATCAACTATAAAATGATATTGATCTCATGTTAAACTGTAAGTTTTGTATATATATGCTCAATTTTATGTTATATTATTAGCATACAGTATACAGAAGAACATTTCATAAGTTGGTAGTCATTGGTGAAATAAAATAATCATATCTTTTCACGGTACTACAACCTGTCGATACCTTTATTTTAGCATGGGTTTCTCCGACTGTTAATGACGTCTTTACACCAAATCCATTGGATGTTGGATGTGTAATGATTGATATATAAGTCTTAGATAAATGATTTTTTTTATTAGTTGTTATTGGCTTTGAACTAGCTGTCAGTAACTGCGAGCACTCTCATATATGTCTTTTTTTGTTATGGATTTATATATACCCTACCACGTCCAGTCTGCGTTTTTGTTAGATGTTTTTCTTCTTTGTATCGATCTGATGAGTTAAGCCCTTTTCAACTGAATTTTTTAGTTTGTTCTTATGTTGTGCTGTAACACCACTGTCCCAGGTTAGGGGAGGGTTGAGCCCTCACAAACATGTTTAACCCAGCCACATTCTTTATGTACCTGTCCCAAGTCAGGGGCCTGTAGTTCAGTGGGTGTTGTTGGTTCATGTCTGTCATATTTGTTTTTCGTAAATTGTTTTGTTATAAATTAGGCCGTTAGCTTTCTCAATTGAATCGTTTCATATTTTTCATGTCGGGACCTTTTATAGCCGACTATACGGTATGGGGTTTTTCTCATTGTTGATGGCCATACGCTTGCCTATAATTGCTTACATCCACTTTTGTGGATAGTTGTCTCATTGGCAATCATACCACATCTCCTTATTTTCATATATTCTCAATTTAAAGTTATGTATTGGGATTTCCTGCAGAAAATGTTTGGGATTTCTACCTACTCAAAAATAAAACAAATGATTCTGTAACAAAACCGTTGAAAAAAATTGCGTTGGAAGTTTGGGAATGTTTTTCTTATTGGATTTGTGTATGATTCAAAAGGTTTTTCAAGGGGGAGGTGCAAATGGTAGAACTCGGAGTTTGCCTTACGTAACTTTAAAATACTTACAGTTAAATATAGATGCTGAAATTTATCTTGTCAGTTCTTGGAAAATTTTGAAAAGGACCAAAAAAACAATCTGAAGTACTTTATACTAAGCATAATTACAGAAAATGATGCATAGGACACAATGACTGACAAACTCATAATAGAATACAACAAATCTGTTTAAAACGGAAAAAAGGAAAAAAATGAACCAGTTATAAGGTGACAAATCGTTCCCCATAGAATATTTACAGCCAAGAATGAAGATTCACTTACTTACTTAGGCTGCCAGTGTCACCGATAACGTTCCTGAACGGACAATTGTGTTGAAGTGTTAAAAAAAACGAGCAATGAATTATTCGATTACATTGTACTCAAAGAAAATTGAAACAACTTACAGTCAAGTTGGTATTTTGGATACTATTTGTGTTTATACGAAACGCCACGTATGTGACGTAGGTTTCCTACCCTGGCATTGTTACACACAAACAACAAAATTCGTCCAATAGACCATAAAATAACATAATAAACATGCTGTTATAATATGGGGCTTTTTTGCCAAAAATGTTGAAATGTGGCTACCTGTATTTCACATGATCAGTAAAGAAAAAAAATCTCAATTGTTTTCTTATGTTTTTGGTTCACCATCAGTTCAAAATTCCTATATATTCAACCAAATTTTTAAATTTTCCAGATCGTTTAATATTTCACTTTAAACATGTTAACTTTAACTTCATTAAAATTATATATATCCAGAATTATACCTGTATCAACTCTCTAAATTCCAATTTTTCAACCAATGTTTAAAGTCTTGTAGTGACACATGATGTTGGGGAAGCGCTCTGCTACTTAAAATAGCCTGTTGGGTTACTGAAAACTTCATTAGAATACTATTTAGCACAACTACCCTTAAATTGTGCTGCAAGCTCATGCACAAGTAAATGTGGGCTCAAAATGATCAAAGCATATGTCTTAATCAGAAAAAAAATTACATTCATGTAAAATTTATTTGCTAGTTAAAGTAAACAACATCAAAGGCACTATTTTGTCAGATTAGGGCTACTTTTCTAAATTGTAATGGGTGAATTGGTGTTACAAGTTTCAACTTTACATGTTAACTTTATGAATAGTCAACATGCATCAACGTATTTACATTTAAAGATTATTGATATTAAAGATTAAGGTTGATTGCTGAAATTTTGTAAGCAGTTACAGGTGAAAATTGGGGGAAATGTATCATTTGTGCAACATCTTTTAAATGTATTTTTGTCTCGCCTGCGACGATAGTACTTTATTACTATGAGAGAAGTAAATTTTTGAACTACAAATGTTATTTATAGGAAGCATACGGTTATTGTAATCGGCCATGACTGTCAGACAGCTTTAGTTTATAAAGATTTATAAATATTTGCAATGCGATAGTGGTGTCAACTCTCGCCTTACTGATCGAGGGATGTATAGTAATTGACTTCCTAGAATTGTTAATACAGAATAAATTTACTGGTATTGACAGTGTATGCTTAATAAGCTTAGGAGTGGTTGTTAAATATTTATTATTTACAAATGATAACATGTTTTGAGTCATATTTTTGAAGTACACATGTTATAAAATCAGTATCGATAAGAGGAGATAATTTGACGTGGGGAAATAACATGTTTTAGGATTGGAAATACTTAGAAAACATTTTATTCAGTAACTTTATACGGGATTTCATTACTAAAATTGTTTAAAGTTTAAAGAACTTGATAAATCAATAAATTTATTATAAAATTAAGAAATGAATGTTTAGTGAGAAAATAGAAATCGATGCACTTAGTTTATATTATATAACATTAATATACAGAAGTGAAACATACGTATGATCTTTATTTGTGTTTCTTTCTTATTGTATATTAAAATTGCCTAAATTTTCTATGAGATTGAAATTATGAAAGTGAATGAAAATATGTTTAAATTTTTAGTTCGAAATTTTTATAATTAATGGCAACACACATATATAATCTTAACACATGATTTCTAACAGAAAACAAACTGGATTAATATGTTCTTATTATTTTTTCTAACTCCTTGAGTAGTAGACTTTACTTCTTAAATTTCGTTTTTTTCAAGGATCCGAGTTGTGCAGCAGTAGGCTAAACCAACCCGCAGGAAGATCGCGTGTTCAAATGTCATAGCCGGAGGTGAAGAAATTATTTCCTATGTTGTATATCGAATAATATGTAACTTAATTTAACTTTACTTTCAATTTCAAAAAGAAAACCAAATGCATGAAAATTTCAGATTAAGAAATAGTTACGTCTGTTTTTAAAAGAATTGTGTGTGCCCATTTGCAACCCCTCCTTTTTCTCCATAGCTACTGGATTTTGGATGTTACGGGCATCGATATTTCAAAGCATATAGTACGTAATTCCTCTTTCTATACCAATATGGTAACTTGTCTGCCTCCAACAGACTTGGGCCATTGCTTTTCCACCAAAACCATACCCTATTAGCTCAACAATATATCTCTACACGACCCCCTCCCCCTCATGGATTTCGTATTTTTTCTCATTTTTCCCGTAAGTAACGTTACTTTAGAAAGATACCACGTGACCACAAAAAAGACGAATTGTCTTAAAATTTAATTTTCTGGAATATTCAATCAATTATCTTTCATATGAGTCCAACATGGCCTTTGCATGAACTTTTGCGCGAATGCACTACTAGTATTCATGTGTCTTTTCGATAAGTAAATGTCTAAAATACCTGATAGGGATAGGGTTAAAAATACACTGCGACGTAATTTTGCGACAAAAAAGGAAAATGGGACATCTTATGGCATGGTATTGGTTGCAAAAATTTGATATTTTTCATTTAAATGCAATATTTCTTATTTAATTGGTATATTTCTTCATTTAAATGCAATATTTTTTTATTTGAATGGTATATTTTTTCATTTAAATGCAATATTTTTTATTCAGATGGTATAATTTTTCATTCAAATGGTATAATTTTTCATTCAAATGGTATAATTTTCGTTCAAATGCAATATTTTTTATTCAATTGGTATAAAATGTCATTTGAATGCAATATTTTTTATTCAATTGGTATAGTAGTTTTTTATTTATATGCAATAATTGCATTATGGGAAATTCTTTGACGTCATAAGGTCAAATTTGCAACAACGTTTGTGATTGGTCGGTAATTGTTTGGATTTCTCCTCTTTCTTTCTAAACTTGAGTGACAAAGAATTAAAGAACGCGTCAGAATATCGCCCCTGTGTAGCAAGTCAAGGTCGATTAAAACTCCCATCATCATCGCCCCTCTAACTAAATTTGGCGTTCGTGCGAGTTCGTGCACTGGCTGTTAATGCCAATAATGGCCAGGACGAGCAAAAATGCGAATGACAAGTAATAATAATTAATTTGACACACAACTTGTTCATGGATAGAAACAGATGCCCGCGTGCATGGCAAAAACACCTCCAATAAAAACCTTTTCTGAAGAAACTCTCCTACAGTCTACACATTGAAATAAAAAAAAAATACATAGCTAGCCCCCCTCCCCCTTCTAAGTCCAGATACATGTAATCATGACGTTCTTTAGTGCTATATCATTTTTTACTTTTCTTGATCATCAGAGACGTTGCAGGAAGGCACACATGAAAAAAGAATAAAAAGCATCCAGGACGTTACAATTATTTGGACTAAGCTAGCCCCCTCTGTTTTACTACATGTAGAAAAAAAATCACCTAATTACGACAGAAGAACCAGAAACCCACAAGTAGAGACATAAGCTGTTATACTCCGGAACTAATTCTTTAATAAATACAATTCATGATAAATTGGAACCAGTTACTAACCCATGTTACAACAATAGTCCTATGACATAGGACTTCACTATATGAGGCGTGAACTTCATATTTAATAGTATCTATAATATGTGCTCTCATGTCTTATGCTGCAAATCATTTTACATTTAGGGTTCGTTGCTGAGCTTTTTTTTTACTGTTCTCGTCTCCGAATCCCTTAAATAGATTTTTTTTCAAGCCCCACAGTAGTTCAATAATTACTATATGTCTTTGCATAAATAAGTATGCAGGGCATATTTCAAAACATATTTTATCTTCAGGACTTTTAAATGATTTACTTTTCAATACTGCATTGGGGAGGGGGGTATACAAGTTTATTTTGTGACACATTATATAATATAATTAGGTATCCAACAAATTATATGATTGTACGTTTAGCTATTATCTAGACCCGTACACAATGTATATAATTAGACACATTTAACAGGGGCGGATCCAAAACCTCGGTGTCTAGAGGGGGGGAGTAGGTTCAAATTTAGATATTTGTATAGAGATGTATATATGCGAGTATTGGCAGTAATGGTTATGGTGTGTGTGTGAGGGTAGGGGTTTCAGATCAAAGATCGTTTCTATAATTCTATATCTTTTAGTTTTTACCATTTCACTCTATTCTTTATCCTTTGATCTCTATTATATTTGTTCTAAACATGCGTGACATATTTGCCATTGGTTGGACATAAGGCAACCAAAAGTCAATCAACGTATTCTGTATATTTCATCATTTCTTTATTATGTTTTCTATAGGTTTGGTTCCGCCCCTTATCTATTTTTTTGCACATTAGGGACGACATCAAAAGTTCAATGTAGGATAAAAAAAACTTAATTCATATAGTTTTTTTCACTGACCCCCTACCCCCCCCCCCCTCTTAACTTAATTTGGGAAAAATTGAGGCAACCATATTCATATATGAAATCCTTCTGTCCCCCACCCCAACAAATAAATAAATATCAAATGGTTTTCCCCTTATTTAACACAAGTTTAAATTGATTGATTGTTTGTTGCTAATTTTAACGCCCAGTGAAAATTATTTCATGCTTGTTCAGGAAAACACGAGTTTAGAAGTCACGTATATAATATATAAATGAAAGAGATGGAATATGAATGCTAATAAGGCAACTATCCAACGGAGTTCAAATATGAAGTGGATCTAAGCAATTATAGATAAGATAAGATAAGATAAGAAAAATTTATTTTAAGTCGGGTTACATGAAATACTACAAACATAAGCTCTGTAGAGCTTTTTGCCGTCATGTAGACAAATGCTTTTTGTAGACAATCGTAAGGCCTTCAACAATGACAAAAACCTGATACTGTAAAGTCGTCTATAAAAGGCCCGACATGAAAAGTGTGAACAATTCAAACGAAAAAACTAACAGCCTAATTATACATAACAAGACAATTTACAAAATATCAAATATGAGTCGAGACATGAACCAACGACAACCATTAAGCTACAGGCTCCATCCCTGGGACAGGCAAATCAAGAATATGGCAGGGTGGATATAAAAACGAAGACGTGGTATGATTGCAAATGAGACAACTCTCCACAAGAGATCAAATGACACAGAAATCAACAGCTATAAGTCACCGTACGGCCTTCGACAAAAAGCAAAGCCTACACCGCATAGTCAGCTATAAAAGGCCCCGAAATCAAAAATGTAAAACAATTCAATCGAGAAAACTCACGGCCGAATTAATGTACAAAAAAATGAACGAAACACAAATATGTATAACAAAGCAACAAGCGACAACCACTGAATTACAGGCTCCTTACTTGGGACAAGCACACACATACAGAATGTGGCGGGGTTAAACATGTTAGCGGGATCCCAATCCTCCCCCTAATCTGGGACAGCGGTGTAACAGTACAACAACATGTTTGTGAGCAACCCATCCCGAAGCTGGGGCAGTGGTGTAACTGTACAATAAAATAACAACCTGCACAAATCAGCAAATTAACTCAAAAGATCGGTACGAGACACACAAAAAAAACTAACATTAAGACAATAGACACAAAGCACCGACATAAGAGTATTTGCAATTACTGGAAGTTTGCTCAAACCTAATTACAACTGGTACTGAAATAAATCTTGTTTTCCCAGACTGAGTTATCAATCAGTACACAACGCGCGGCAAAGGATTTATTAAAAAAAGAAAACAGTCTGAGAAACGTCTGGTTTACGTTGTATATACTAGATATAAGAAGATGTGGTATGAGTGCCGATGAGACAACTCTCCATCCAAGTCATAATTTGTAAATGTAAACCATTAAAGGTCAACTTACGGTCTTCAACACGGAGCCTTGGCTCAAACCGAACAGCAAGCTATAAAGGGCCCCCAAAAAATTAGTAGTGTAAAACCATTCAAACGGGAAAACCAACGGTGTCTAATCTATTTAAAAAAACCGATATACTTGCATATAAATCCATATACAATGAAACGGTATTTGAAAAGTGGACCGAACGTTTTGACCATCGAAATTTTGCAATAGAAATACTAGTTATGACCACAAGATTTTAACAGCCAGTGCAGGACTCGCACGAACGTTAGATTTAGTTAGAGGGGCGATATTCTGACGCGTTTTTTAATTCTTGGTCACCCATGTTTAGAAAGAAAGGGGAGAAATCCAAACAATTTCCGACCAATCGCAAACGTTGTTGCAAAGACCTTATGACGTCAAAGAATTTCCCATAATGCAATTATTGCATATAAATAAAAAAACTACTATACCAATTGCATAAAAAATATTGCATTCAAATGACATTTTATACCAATTGAATAAAAACTATTGCATTTGAATGAAAAATTATACCATTTGAATGAAAAACTATACCATTTGAATGAAAAATTATACCATTTGAATGAAAAACTATACCATTTGAATGAAAAATTATACCATTTGAATGAAAAATTATACCATTTGAATAAAAAATATTGCATTTAAATGAAAAAATATACCATTCAAATAAAAAAATATTGCATTTAAATGAAGAAATATACCAATTAAATAAGAAATATTGCATTTAAATGAAAAATATCAAATTTTTGCAACCAATACCATGCCATAACATCTAGCTTTAAAAAAAGCTAGATTTTCTATATCTAGCTAAAACATGTGCACATTGACACCCATTTTTCTTTTGCAATCGACTTCGTACTACTTTAAGAATATTATAGCAAAATTGCAATAAAAAATCCAACGGTATATTTTTAACTGTAAACATGCAAGAAAATTGTCTACGGCTTTTAATTACCAATAATTGTATAATTTTACTGTTTTTACATGAAACGTACAAATTTCAAACTGAAATATCCGAAAGTAAGTTATGAATGTATATTTTATTTTCATATTTCGATAGTTTATAACAAAATTGACTTTGTGTCAAACTTTTAAGGAAAAACCAACGAGAGTTCTTTTCTATATCATATGCCTTAAATGTGTATTAGTGTTGTGTTTATAATATCAAAACCAAACTAATGAAAACTACATACTCAACGCCAATCTGTATATGCCTTCGGTGTCTTGAAGTTCCTTTCATATTCAAAGAAGCAACTTGTATTCCGGCGTCAATTTGGTTTCTAGCTCCAGCAAAGTTAAAGAATGCCAATGCTTTATCCTAATCGAAAATAGAGTACGTCATCAAATTTTTAATAATACGTATCAAACAGACTCATTTTTAAATAAGCAATAAAAAAATCCACATAATATTCAAACCTGAGTGCGCATGATATGTGTTTCGGTAAGGTAAAATACCCTTTATTCATAACGCACTGCTCGGAAGCAAAACACATAATACACGAGGAAAGACCAGATAAAAAAAATCACGGAAGGATTAAAGCCTTCAAACAGATTAACTCTTCCGAACAAATTTGTATTCTTAGTTGTGGTATAATTCTACAATGATTGACAATTTTGAATAAAAAATAACCTTCATTGTGTATGCTCGAGACCAACAATTTGTGCGGCAAAATTCTGGCGGCTGAGCAGTTGGATCATCGATAATTTACAATGAACAAGTCTGTGAACTTATCATGCTTTTAGAATAACCATCAGTAGGTATATGGACATTCGAGGAAAAAATTATAAGCAAATAACGAAGAGATATTGGACCAATGTTGTAGTTATAATATGCATATGTTTAAAAAATACCAGATATCGAAATAAACCACGAGCTCATTTCGAAAAAATATATTTCACATTAATTGTGCTCGAAACAAAACATTAATAATTCCACAGAATTCAACGTCAAAGCACAATGAACTCAAAATAAGACCAAAACAGGAAGAAAAATCTATTTCACCCTTCTGGAACAACGGAGTTCAACACCGTTTTTTGTGGTGTTCGTGTTGCTCAACTTGATTGCTTAATTTATTTGCTCTCCTGAGCATATTCCATAAGCCAATTGCAGAAGAGGCATTATAAAAAGATGGGAATATTAGAAGAATAGAAGGGATTGCAAATTGACTAAAATTAGTACGATAAAGTTATTTTTGTTAAGACTTTAGAGATAAAAATATCGTTCAGTTTAAAATTTGTTTCCTTGTACATTTGACAGAATTATGCTGGTCGCCATGACGATTAATAATCAAACCAAACATTACTTACAGCGTCAACAACTTTTCCAGGAAATCCTCCCGTTAAATGAAGTATACCTATATTATACGCCGCATCAGGGCATCCTAATGAAAAGGCTTCCTCAAAATATTTTACCGCTTCTGTAGTATTTCGATCATAATTTAATGCGTACCACCCCAAGGCATTCAGTGCAGAAGGATTTTTCTGGAATAAAAACATTTCCAACTATTTAAAACCAATAATGAAAGTTTTATTAAACACATTCTAATATATCTTTTTCAAATTTTATAAATACTGTAAAATGATTTTAAATTCTTCAAAATGAACAGTTAAAAATACATGCCTAGAGTCATAGGATCTCCCAATCATTTCACAATAGAATCAATTCAAAGTTATTTTCACCATAGTTTTAATTCCCTGTGACGTTTTATTTGGATGGCGAGACAAAGCGATCGTTCATTCTGTCGTCGTCGATGGTTTCGTCGGTGTCAACATTTAGGTTCATCTGTGGTTAAAGTTTTTTAATCGTCACTAACTCTGTCAAATCTTCATGGAACTTCATTGTACTTGGATAGAAGCTTTGATATAACCAAAAGAGATTATCAAAAGAAATATTTTGAAAATATTCCATTCTTCGTATTTTACTGAAAAATAAGCTTAGTTTTTTTCTTGTGTATATCACATTTAGGGCATACGATACAGTTACATGAAAGGTAATGACGTTGCTAACGTAAAATGTTATTTTTCGCGACGTAAAACTGCGACATATCGGGAAAAGATGCATTTTTCGAGTAATTTTCATAATTAGCTTGAAAACGAGTACATGGATCCCTCTGTTTTAAAATGACATTTGACTTGATACTGTATGAAGATTATTATTCTAATTTTTATGAAAAAATCACCGATAAATTTTTTTAAATTAGTTAAAAATGTGCAGCAAAAAATGCCGGTTTTTTTCTAAAGTCATGAACATTTAATAAAAAATTATTATTTATAAAGGATTGTTACACAAATTAAGAGCATTCTTTTGTAAAGAAGATATTCCTAATCTTTTTACAAAAATCCGCATGTTATTATCTTTTGAAACAAAAAAGTTAAGTATGTCTGTCCAAAGGATAGAAATGTCCAAGAAACCGAAATTTTAAGTAAATGTCTAAAATTTCAACCCCATTTATCTCTAAATTTAGCACATGAAGGTATATTTTTTATTACATATTTGAATTGACTAAGTGAAAAATAGCTTGTATGCAAATTTTCGTAAAACAAATCACCGTGGGGTCAAAACTATGTCCTTAACATACAGAATCTTCTTAATTTTTGAAACGTTGGCAGAAGCATTTTTTAATCTCTGATGCAAAAATTTTTAAAAATTGCTTTTCTTTTTCCGTAATTTACTGATTTAATAAGGGAATTAGTTTTTCGCATTTAGCATAGATACAGTGTGATTAAAAGTTTGTTTTGGTAACATCTATGGGCCATTCAGATATCCACGGAAACACGATTCTTGGAACGTTTCGAAAATTTTCGATCATTTATACAAGTACATGTAGTTATCTACGTCTTTATACGGTCCCTGTATGGGCAGACTACAACATGACATTTTATATTTTAATTGATTGATTGGTATCTTCCTGGAAGGCCTACAATATTGAATGGGTGCTGTTTTAGAACAAAATGTAATTAGTAGGGAAAAGGTATTTAAAATGTAAAAATTATTTTGAAATTTAGAAATATCCCATTTTTCAATAAAAAACATATTGAAATGGAATGGAATAATATGGAAAATGTTTTGAAAACGTAAGATAAAAAACCCCATTAAATTGAGACAAATAAATGGAATAAGTTGCATTTAAAGATGATTTTGAAATTCCCGAAATGAACTGTGATTTAAAAATAGTAAACTTCGTGAAATGTGACTATTCATGTTGTAAATTTTAAATATATATGTGTGCATAATTCATATGTGATTGTGACATGTGCTTTGATATACTATTGTGCTTTTTTGTTTTTTATCTTCATATATATATATCTATGTGCTTGTTTACGTGATTATTGGGTAAGAAATCTGTTTGCGATACTTGGTTATAGAATACCTAGTATCATTTGCGCCAAAAATTTAGTTGATGCCAATGATTACGCTAATTCGTAGATTAAATTTAATTTTAATTTGACACTATACAATTGGAAACTGTATATGGAGAAATTACCAAAAACCGAAATGAAAGCAAGTGACGACCTCATTTGAATATACCATCATCAAATACACAAATGTACATCTTATGCATCCAGAAAAGATTCAAAGAATCTAAAAATGAATACCTAAATTGTCAATACTACAAGTTCTTTCATTTTTCTGAAGTTTTTTGGTTTTTCGTATAGTGGCAGATATCGCATGCATGTACAGGACGGGAACAAATTAACAATACATATAATAGGTATAGGTCCTGTAATAGGGGTCGACCAGGATGAAGGGCGGGAAATTTGGAATGCCACTGAAAAATCAGGGTAAATTGGACAGGTAATGAAAATTTGCCTTACATAAGACCACCAACCCAGAAAAGAGTTGTTGTAAGAGTTCTCAAAGTGCGGGGAGTGTGGCACTCTCTCTTCATGCACGAAGCATCGGATTTAACGTCCCCGTTATGACCAGACGTTGTTGAGAATTTATACTTTCCGCACAGCCAACTGGACACTCCACATTGGTAAGTGTTTTACTGCCAACTTATTCTAGTTATCTTTAATATCCTTTCACTAAGCTATCAACAAGAGCTAAACGTTTCTTTATCAATATTTCCCCAAAAATAATCCTCATTCTAAACAAACAGAAAAAAATATATATTCTTCTTTGCAAATAGAAGAATGGTAATATTTCCTTGAATTTTAATTGGAAGACCAAGTTTACCTTTATAAATTATAATTAGTTTTCGTTTTGACTACACTTAATGTTAATCAGAAACTGTTCATTGAATGCCAATATATTTTTACTTATTTTGTCGGCAGATCGAAGGATGTAGGCACTCAAGGAATATACTTATTAATTGCTTAACGTCCAGTGGCAAACATTTCATGCATGTTCAGGACGAGTATATTTTAACCATAGATAAACAAGTTTTAGCAATCAAAGTTCATTTGTAGATCGGAATATGGGAAAAAATATGATATTCCACCCGTATTTACCTTTTGACATAATTCAGGCGTTTTGATGTAAATGTTTATTAAAGTTTAAACCATTGCCATGACGTCAGCCTATTCATTTACCGTGGTTTCTTTTCGAGAATCAACGCTTCCTTTAGAACATACTCATCCCTTCTAGTCCAATGGAAAATCATATTTTCCCCGTCTATTTTTCATAGTACATGGCTTTCCATGCACTATAAAATGCTATACATGCATGACTTTTCATTGTAGATTAATTATAAAAGTGAACTCTTTAAAACTGCACTAAGTGTAAAATCCCCTGAGGCAATTTTCATAGGAAAAGAGCAAAAGAAGAAAATGAGTACCGTTGTTTGTCTAATTATTATAAATGAAAACAATAGAATAGAATTACATTTTTAGTTAAGTTTTGAATATTGTAAACGTTATATAAAAGTACATAAATGGAAAATTAAAAAAAGAATTGAAAAGGGTGCAAAGGTGATGGTAAAGTAGCATTTAAACTTATCGACCTGAGAGCCAATGTGTTTTTATGAAACAAAAAGAAATTAAAAAAAATCCAAAAATAATAAAGCAGTAAGCATCTGATGTTGGAACGATCTTAATTTTAATATTTATTGATGAAGTTTTATTATTATTAAAGTATACACAATTTTCGAAAAGCTTATTTATATGACACTGTGTGCTTTTTACAATGAAGGAATTTGAGATATACATTGTAAATTTTTGAATTTTACCTGAAGCAGAAAAGAATTTCACTTTTGAAATTTTTTTCGTTTTTGTCCTTACAAAACTATCTCAATGCTATTTCATTCCATCTGTTGAAATGAGCATTAGATATGATTAACATTCCTTTTATTAACCATGTTAACGCTGGAAGTGAACTCATATTATGGTTTTATTATTACAATGGCAAGCCCCTCGCTCTAAATTTCATAGTATATACCTTTTCATAGACTAACCTAGACATAGACTACATATGGTATCAGTAACTGTTAGTAGCCGCGAGGTATATTTTGATATTTTGATATTTTGATGATAAACATTTACACTATTCCACAAGGAAAACCATTTTATATTTGTGGTGATTGAAATAGTCGTTGTTCAGATTTACCAGACTCTATTGAAGGAATGAAAGAAATGTGGTAGACTTTCAGTATAACAGATATGGGAATATTTTCGGTGTCTTTTTAACAGATGTAAATTGCTGTATTTTGAATGGTCGAAAAACTTTACATATTGATTATACTACTAAAGGAATGAGCGTAGCGGATTATTGTGTTTTGCCATATGAAGATTTGGAAAATTTAAGCAATTTTAATGTAACCAGAACAAGTTTAATAGTTGAAGAAATTAATGCGTTGGGAAAGTACGACTTGAATAAAGATATCCCAGATCATTCTATCAAATGGATTTGATATAAATAAAAGAAGGTGTAAAAAAGAATGGTGGAATGAAGTGTGTTAATCAGAAAAAGTGTGGATTAAATGTAGAATTAAACGTAATAAGCGGGAGTTTCGTCATATATATATTTGTAAATAAACGTATGATGTTTGATAAGGCCGTTCAAAGTGCCAAACGAAAATATTAGTATTCCTTACAGGAAGATTTAATAAAGTCTTGTGAAAATCCAAAAGTGTTTTGGAGGAAAATTGGTAAAATAAGGGTTGGTAGTGAACGCCGCAGTTCTATTCCTATGGAAGTGAAATTAAGTGATGAGTCAGTATCATTTGACAAGCATATAGTGTTAGATAAATGGAAAAGTGAATTTTCTAATATATATGTGAAATAGAAATAATCATAATAGTGTTGAAAATATTCATAGTGATGTAAATGTGAATGATGATAGTCTTGATAGTGTAATGTCATATGAAGAAGTGTATAAGGTTCTGTTATCTTCGAAAAATGATAAATCGCCAGGTTGTGATGAAATTACAGTTGAACTTTATAAGAACGAAACTACATTGTTAGCTTTAACTCGAATTTTTAATATTTGCTTTAATTCTGGTAAGATACCTGCTATATGGTCAAAAGGTATCATTACTCCA